CGTGCTTGGCACTCAGTACTTCAGTCGTAGTCCTGAGAAAGACTTAGGTGATGGTGTTGATCAAGCGGCCGGGAAGGTAATATAAAATATGTAAAGTACTGAACTTTGCGTACTTGAAATTTGCTTTAGTATAGCTGCCCTACACACTTGAAAAAGCTGAAGCAGTGGCAACAAGATGAGCGCGATCATCCTAGAGCAACTAGTCTGTTAACAGGTTTCGTGGGTCGTTAGCCTCGCACATTGTGTGCCCGGGGACCAAGGACCTGCAACGACCTACTCCGCCCAAGACTCTGACCTGGGTGCTTACTCTTGAATCCAATTCCGATCGATCGACATTGGAATTGTGATATTTCGTACTCTCGAGTTCCAACACTAGCGCCCATTGCATCCGTATTACGTGGATATTGAATGAACTAAATGGTATTGAGTTTGGCTTTATATTCCGTACTCTGAATGCTATTGTAACAGCTACGATAGGGGTTGTATAGTTTTGACATTGAATAATTATTGAGATTTTATTGGATTGAAATTGCATTGACATTGAGATTGGTTTCAAGAGTAAGCACCCTGGAGCCTTTTATTTACAAGTACGATCTACATGTCGACACTCAAGGTTTCGGGAAACTAAAGTTATTTTTTGCACCGTTGCCACTTGGCGTATTGGTATCAAAACGGTTCCCGGTTGTATAATAGTTAATTATACTCCTAAGAACATAATTTGTTGAATCTGACTAAATTACACAATTAAACAATGTATTCGATTCATCCACTACCTACCCAGTGCCCTATTGACCGAATTGTCCTTTGCTCTCATTTTCTCTTTCACAATATTCCCGAAAAGATCTTTTAAACATGCGCAGACTTTTACAAATGTCAGACGAAACACCTTCACGCGCCCTTCACATTTATTCAGATAGGCCACTGAGACGTCTAGCTCTAGCGGTAAGCATTGCAGTAGACACTTATTGATAGTTTTCAAATTAAGATGTATCATCGATTAGCTTCTGACTCCAGCTCGTCATTGCCGACCTCGTTCCCGTGGGATAAAAGTGACCTATGTGTTGTTCTACTAGACAATAATCTAGCTCTGTTCCAAATTTCATCCCGATCCCATCAGTTTGAGTAGTAGCAGTAAGACATGTCAAATCTGGCTCAATATAATAGTTGTTGCCCAGTAATGTGAGGAACTGCTGTAACACATGCAACTCAATAATGCAAATATAATGGTTTGGTATAGGTATGTCGCTGCGCTGACAATAACGAATATTTACAACAACTAAAAATACAAACAGTGCCAAAAATAAGGTTGCCAAAGCTCATTTCTATGTACACAAATAAATTGGTAAGCGACGTGAAGTGGGTAGAAAATCATTAGTAGAAAACGTTGCACGATTACTGAAGCTGAAGCAGACAACAAAAGGTGGGATACATTGCGTTCTGTGCACCCTTAGGGTCCTTGCCCCAAGTCTAGACGCGGAATTAGGCGGGGTGCACCGGCGCGAACCGGACCCGGGCAGACTGCAAGCGCGGCTGTCGGTCAACAACCGGCGCGTCAGCCCCCGGTCGATAGAGGGCTCCCGACGACCCCGAGCTTATGAATCAGGTTACAAGTTATTTTACTCTGTATCGTACATATCGCAAAACTTCACTAAAATTAAGGAAAACTAGAAAAACCTCTAGCTTTATATAGCAATTTATGTAGCTTTATATAGTAATATAATTTTGATTGTGTTTAAGAATGTTTTACAGACTATATCTGAAATAACGAACGCTAGTCTATACTCTGTAATTACTTAAGCATTGTATAATGTATTCGTTACTAAAATGGATCGAATGAAGACTGTCATCACGTCTACCGTGTGGTCTTGCATTACATTTACGATATCTTAAATCTGCATTTTGCACCAGCGCATACCGTTCCAAGTCATTCTTTTTTTTATTATTTACTCGATTATTATGAGTCAATTGATAAGAAGATTTATCATCTCCTAAATGTGGACGAGAACAAAAGGCAATAAAACTCGGTTAAAATATTAATCAAGTGATTTTGTTCACAAACAGCGCATGACAGTCCACTGTTGAAACTATGGAACTCCGCTAGTTAAGAGAGTTAGCCATAATGTCCACGCCTGGGTTCGAGATCGTAACTTGTCCTCTTTGAACTTAACAAAGATTCACATGCGTCCTGGTTGAATGCTACGGATTGGAACGAATATCACACCTACTGCAGTATTACGTACGCACCGGACATACCAAAGTAGTCGCTAGATGATCGAAGGGATTTTGAGCTTCACATACTTTAGGAGTACACTCCTCTCAGGCAACATATATATTTTAATGTATATAACATAACATAACATAACATCACGCCTTTTATCCCCGAAGGGGTAGGCAGAGGTGCACATTATGCCACTGTACAATGTAACACCCACTTTTCACTATTTATGTTATGAGTCCCATGTAATAGGGGGTGAGCCTATTGCCATATACCGGGCACAATTCCAGACTCCGTGCTACTACTGAGAATTTCCAACAACCCAGTAATACTTTGCCCGACCCGGGAATCGAACCCGAGACCCCTTGCCCGGCAGTCGCACTTGCGACCACTCGGCCAACGAGGCAGTCCAATAGTCCAAGGCAGGCAAGAGATTTTAATGTATATATTTTTTTAAAACAAACGTTGGCCTACAAAGGATTTTCTCCTGTGTCGTGGCTGCGTTTAAAACATACAAGTCCACATACACATAACACCCAAACCAGAAACAACAATATGTGCACCACACAAAGAGTTGGTCCGTGCGAGAATTGAAACCGCGATACGTTGCGCGGCAGCCGATTACCCAACCACTACCGACTACGCTAATCAATGTTACAGAGTTCAATAGTCACATCAGGTGTTGTTTAATATTACGTCGTCTTCCGAGCGCGACCAAAGAGCTATCAAGCCACCGCAGATTGGGCCCAGTAGAGCTGGTTCCTGACCCGGAGCTACGGACAATCTAGGGGTTTACCGGGGCTCCGGGTCGAAGTAAGAGTAGGCACGGAGTGGTTTTTAGTCAGCAAAAGTCTGACTCTTCCTCCCGCCTTAAGCACGGCAAGAGAAGAAAGTCATTGAATGATGTTCCCCTTATGGAACCTGGAATAATTTCCAGATGTTTAGGCGTTTTTTGGCTAAAACTTTTGACCAACTAAAGTACTTTAGTCCGTAGATCCGTAGCAACTGGGATTCGCCCAGTTATTACTTATGCAGTGTTTTTATAGTAGGTTTATAATGGGTGCATTTGCGCATTTATAGGCTTAAGGTACTATCGGCTGCAAATGGTGACTATGGATTCTAATTTCTTCTCTTCTAAATTATGTCATTGTCGGTTCCAAGGAAGTACATATCCTGGATTGCGTCAAATTTCATAGTTTCCATATTACTAGTTGTTTCCTATCTGACTACATGGAGAAGATATTCCAAAACAAACTCAGAGGTCAACTCTTTTAAAGTCCAGACAAATAAATGATGTGTGAACTGTAAAAAATCATTCTGTAGTACTTTTTTTAGTAAAGAACACCAGTCTGAGTGGACCTGTTCTGATGGCAGGCATGTGTCAGTTTAGAATTGACATACAATGTGATAAACATTTTCAACGCGGGTCATGCCTTTAACTATGTTTTGTTTGCAGACAAATTTTGAGAAAACATTTAAACTTATCTTTAGCAAATATTTAACAGTCATTAAGGATAGCAATTACATACTACTGAGAACAAAGTCGGTCGCCCCCACCATGGGAATGGTAGGAGCCAATGAAATAAGTATGTTCAACAGAGACCAGGTAATAGCACTCTACGCTTTAATTAAACTATAATCTCAAACCCGCCAACCAAGCATGGAGATGATGATAAACACTTGGGCAGTTGATGGGATGGAGTATGAAGTGAATGAATCATAAATTTAACTTCAATCTGGAAATGCATAGGAATGCAATATGTTGGGTGATTCTAGGTGTCCCCGATTTGTGTACAGTAAATATCTATTTACTGTACACAACTAGTTAACTAGTAAGCACAAAAGTTTGTTGTTTTTAACTAGCAGTCGGTGTCCTATTCCTGAACCTGATCTTCTCATCATTTATATTGCACTTTGGTACCTACTACTTTAGAGACAATCACTAAATAGCAGTCAAGTACATAGAATCTTAGTAAAGAAATAAAGTATAACCCCATGACAATTCCAGTAGCAATATTAATGTTAGGTTTATAAGCATGTGGTTCATCACCCAGCTAAAACATAATTATCTGATCACATATTTAAAGTACATATGAAGATTTCAGAATTTGTGGTTTAAATGAATCTGAATTATATGTAATATGGCATTTGTTATGAACATTCATGTCATTTTGTGCATATCTTTTCAAACATCAAAGCATGATAAGCTAATGAAGATAGAAATAGGAACTAAACATCTAAACATTTGGTGTTTAGAGAGCAGAATACATTAAACAATTGATTTTAGTAAGTAGTTCTACTTTGGAGTTGAATGTAAGAATATTTTTAAAACAAAATAAAACATGTGTATGTATGAAAGTCTAAGCTTGCTTAAAGTAGCACGTTTGAATTATTATCGACCTTAAATTTTTATTCTTTGCCATACATCATATTACATCTTTGTCTGCCATTTTTGAGGAGGAGACCTTGTGGTATTTTTCTTAACATGTAATAAGTAAACTAGCCGTTACCGAAAATCACAGGTTTCTATGATCGTCTAACGTGCAAATAAATCGGCAAACATTTATTTCTTACTGCTGTTACAAAATATACGATCAGCTGATTCCTTTGTTTGACTACTGCTAAGATAGTCATTATTCTACAAGCTGTTATGACACGTCAGACGCGATTTATCTAATATTAAATCACACAGAACTCTAGTCAATAACACAACACCAACGTTATAGCGCATTGACGAAGAGTTTTGTGAATATCTAATCCATAAACAAACCTTGAAAGTTCTTACCTTTATAATGGACTCGCAGATTATTCTGCGACAACCCGATATAGCTGAATTTATCCTTAGTGCTCCATGATCTGGGTAAAGGCGTTTCTTCCTCGTTAACGTTAGGATAAAGTAATTTCAAACGATCTACATTATCACTTTGCACTTGATTTTGGGAATCCATTATTATTGGTACACTACCTATCGCAGCCATTTCTAATTTCTTTATTGTAATTTCATGTCATGTCAGTGACGTCAACAACTATACATGAAAACCATTCAAAAGATGGCAGCACAAGTGACTCTGTGGTATTTACGGTTTTGTTTATGGTTGGCCATAATCTAAACCGATAATCGCCATAGAACACAATATAAAATAATATTAGAAAATAAAATAATCGGAAGAGATAAGAGAAAAGTAATTTTACGTTAAATATTTAATTAATAAATACTAAATGAATAATCGGTATTTATTTGATTTTTTTTGATAAATACCCTACTACAGTATTCTCGGTATTTATCATGTATTTATAGATTTCGATTATTGTTTTAAATATTTATCCGAAAAATCGCCCATTTATACTCGTAGTAATCTAAGTAAATCAATCAAACTTAAATATACTTGTAATTAATTAAAGTAAGAAAGATATATGAAACCAGCGGTCCCGATCTTACTTTGCATTGGAATTGTACTGTATCATTTTATTATCCTCAAGATTATTTTCTTTTTCAGTCTCTTTGACTGGATTTAGATGTTGCATTGTTCTCACACAATCGAACCAATAAAATTAAGTAACTAGAGAATTGTATTGCAAACCTGATTGAAAAAGAGTAACCTATGGAGTTTCTTGCTCGTTCTTCTCCATAGAAATCTACACCTTGGAATGAGCAACTAGCTTCACTTCTAAATTTTTGTTGTTTGACGTTCATAAGTGTGGTCTAATTGAAATAAATGATTTTGACTTTGACTTTAATTTGTTTGTCTTGCATAAGAACCTCCTCATAACGATAATAAAAATCAAGTTCAGGTGTTCTCACAGATACAGCGATTTTTATAAAACGACCTCCATGAAAAAAAGTATCTGTACCTACTGATGTGTACTTCAACCTCGTAGATGTATAACTAGTATAATATACTATACAAATGTATATTTATACTGTATGTATAATATATACTATAAGATTGTCTGTTTAATACGGTAAACGAACGAAATCTACCTTCACAAGTTTTATCTAAAACTGAAAAACACAGAGGCACAATGGAACGCAACTAGATAATCACCATCACAACTAATATTATTTGAAACTCACAGATAAGCAAATCGATTCTTCGTATATTGCTACATTATGGCTAGTATTCCTAAATACATTAAATCTCTGGATAATCAAATAAATAAACAACTTAAGTGTCTCAAAAAGACAAACAGTGAGTTACTTGAGGTACAGCAAACAGAGTACGATCAAGTTTTGAAGGTGAGAATTTTTTACCGTAAAAACTGTTTTTAATCACTCTCGATTCTCTAACTGTTATCGGGACTCATCAATTTGATAATAAAGCTTCTGAAGCAGTATCAACTTGCGAAATTATTACACAGTATGAAATCATTTTTTTTTACAGATTTTTGAAAAGGCATTTAAATTATTAATTAATGACTCAGTTACTTATTCTGGAATCCTTAACAGAATAAAACAAGCCTATGACAATGCACTTGAAGTTCGCAGTAAACGTATTTCACAATTCATAACCCAAGACGTAAGTACTGTTTCGAATAAGCAATTATTAATTAATAACAATAAGCCCGCAGGGCATCTTAGCGACCCCTCGGGCTACCATCATCCCGAATGCTCCAGGGAGAAATCACTGTTCCTTACTCTCCAGCTTGCCTTAATTGGCGGGCTGGAGTGAACGATGACGAGGAACAGGGTCTCCCACCTCCGGCTTGCCTTCATTGGCCGTCCAGAGTGGAGTCGCGAGAGCAGTGATCCTACTCGGAGGGTAAGAAACTATTCGTAAGTAGCAAGTGGGCCAGGGATGCAGGAGGCTTCGGGTGCAGCAGATGATCTAAGTAGAAAGCGGTGGTAGTTTCTTAACCCTTAAGCTACTCACATTCTCGTTGTCCCTATATCTAGCAACCATTCCCGGGGCCTGGTCGGTGAGTTGGCAAGAAACAACACAAAGAGTTGCTCCGTTAGGGGAATGAAATCTGCTACACGTACAGCCACCGCACCAACCATGCAGTTAAAATAACTTTTTTTCTTCGCAAAAATCAACCCAGGACTTTGAGCCGGAAATACATAACATCATCATGTTATTTCCGGCTATGTATGTATGTATTACTTTGAGCCGGAAATGTATATAATATTTGTCGCTTGTTAAAATATAGTAGCATGTCGAGTGGGTCATCAAATGCTTACAGCCAAGTGGTGGCCACTGTGCTGCTCCACGCTACTCCAGGATATAAAAAGAGTGTCTCTGGTTTTTAAATGATATATTTTATTTTTACTCTATATTAGATTTCTAAGCCATTGTAAACATGAAATTGTAAAAACTTGAAAGCAAAACTCGGCCCAACTTTAAGATTAGGATTTTCTCAAATAGAGAGACATAATTTGTGGATCACACAAAGAGTTTCATGCGAGACCGAACTCACCACGCATTGTGCACCAGCCGGTTACCTTGCTAGTATTACAACCGAGCAGTCACAATCGTGCAATGCTAGAAATTAAGTAAAAGAAAACCCTCGTGGAACAACAAAAACAACATACACGTGTTACGCGCGTGTGTGTGTGTGTGGTGGTGAGATTACTATCTAGCGTGATTACAGACAATTATTAAGGAGTAGATATAGAGATTAAACCTAGAGGGTGCCCTCGGCAAGCACCTCACAGACCCCCCTGTGAGCTGTGACAAGTGACAATGGAGCCAATCTTTGTGGCTTCGTTGTCACTCTATGACCAGTCAAGCGTGTGCGTCTCGCGGTACCTACCCCTGTGTCTGTAAATACCTCACAGGACCGATTTTTTGAAGCCAGGTAAATATTACCAAAGGATTACGTTTGAATATTTGACACTTCTTCCTAAGAACTGTCAACTGTCAATTTCAAGTTACGAATTAACTGATTATTTAAAAATCAGCCCTTAGGCCAGTGCCTAGTCTACCTTTGGGATAATAAGGCTGTGACTATAAGTCTGTGAGATTGACATAATCTCGGCCACCGTCAGTTCGCAAGCAACGGACTTAACTCCTCTGGTGTTGCGGGTGTTTATAGGCAGTGCTAGTGTCATCCAATGATCCAAATCCAACGATCCTTCTGTTCATTTGCCACTCTATTCCATAAAAAAATAAGTTCAGTAGGTATAGGTACATACATTCATTCTTATCAAAGACAAAGAGTTAACGAAAGATTACTGACCCTTGACTATTGTTCCGAGTGCTGCACTGCTTTTTATTTTATACTCTTTGACTGCTGTGCTGACTGCTGAGGCGCTGACAGTACTTGACATTCGTGACAGTAGGTACCCCTCCCTATACTTATTACACTCTTTGACAGTAGGTAGTGAATGATATTGCTACGTGCGATCTGAATCTGACATAACATAAGGATTTGACAACGGTTTGACATATTTTTGTTTTTACTTTAAAGTCAATCCTCTTAGAATTTACAAACGTAATAATTCACTTCATACAAATACAAATTACAAAAGTACACGTCTTCAAATCAAACCGAAGTTACTATTTTTGTTTAAAAATTATTTATTAATTTTTTTGCTGTACTTTTATCGTCTAATGCTAGATGTCTGCCACCGGCGATGTAGCACCCACCGTGTTAGTTCTGGATGGAGGTTTCTCGACTCAACTGTCATGTCATGTGGGTACTTCAGCAGATGGAGATCCGCTCTGGAGCGCGCGGTTTCTAAAGACCCATCCTGATGGTGTTGTAAACACACACCTGGACTTCTTGCGCGCCGGCTCTGACGTTATTATGACCAATACTTATCAAGCGTCTGTCGGAGGTTTCGTAAAACATTTAGGTGTTTCACCAGAACAAGGATACGACCTCATTAAGCATGCAGTGGAACTTGCCAAACGTGCCCGAGACATTTTCTTAAAAGAATGTCAGGAAACAGGTGATGTGATTCGAACCCCTCTAATAGCGGGCTCCATAGGGCCATATGGAGCACACTTACATGATGGCTCGGAATACAGTGGTGACTATGCAGATATTACAGGTGTGGATGCCATGAGAGAGTGGCACATGCCACGGATCCGTGCTTTAGTTGAAGCTGGAGTAGATTTTTTAGCTTTTGAGACCATTCCTTGTCTGAAAGAAGCTGAAATGCTTGTAAAAATTTTAAAAGAGTATCCAAAGATGAAGGCCTGGCTGAGTTTTAGTTGTAAGGATGAGCATTCATTAGCACATGGAGAAAACTTTAAAGAAGCTGTACAGAAATGTTGGGACTTGAACCACTCTCAACTAATGGCTATTGGTGTCAACTGCTGCTCACCAAAAATTGTTGCAAAGTTATTCAAGGGTATCAATGATGAGCGCCCACACTCTCCCATACCATTCATTACATACCCTAACTCCGGAGAGAAGTATAATCCTGAAATAGGCTGGATTGACCAGGGCAAGTGTGAGGCCCTTGCTAGTTTTGTGCCAGAGTGGCTGGATGTAGGAGTTAGATATGTAGGGGGATGTTGCAGAACTTATGCTACTGATATCTCCCTCATCAACAATCAAGTCCAAATATGGTTGAATAATCAAAGTAAAAAATTGGAGTGTCACTAAAATTTCTAATTGATCTTATTACTCAATGCTATATTTGTGTTTTAGATTGCTGGTTATAAATTGTTATTATAATAAATATTTGCACTATTATTAATCAAAACAAAAGAAAATAGTTTATAATGTAAAGTCAAGTAAAATTGTGCAATTTTTTGTTATTATTGGATTACATGTTTGTTATAATAAATGGTTGTTATTATTGCATCAGATTATTTAATTTAAAACATGAAAACAAATTACATAATCATGTTATTTTTATGCAAATGCATATAAGACCTCAATTTACAGAAAGTATTTGGTATATCTGCCAGAAAGAAACAGCATGATGTCAAAATCGAAAAGTTGATACAGGAAAATGAGGATTTGCGAGAACAAAATATACAATTGATCTTTGAGAATAACAAACTAAAAAGAGAAATGGGAAAGGTGTGTACTATGGTACATAATGTGGTGGATGGGATAGCTTGATGTACTCAATGGCGCGACTTGATGATGTGTGGTGTGATATCCACCTCATGTGTTGTCAATCAGAGAATGTTCTTCCGTCTTTTGTTCCTACCGATGTTTATGTAAAACTTATCTTTCTGCTTAGTTATGACGTCATACTCGTACACCCAAGTCACTGTTATCGCTACTTGCATGATCCGTATAGCATACTTTGTACCTACCTAGATAAAAAGGCGTAGTATACCTACTACCCACGTGATAATTTGCATTATGCAGTGGAGACTCATAAAAGCGGTAATATGACGTATTTTAAATTATAAATTTTATTAAACAGATTGCCGTGTTAAGGATTCCAGGATGGCCTGTGAAATTTAAATTATCGTATTTTTTGCGATTCACAGCTCGAGATTGGATAGTATGATGATAAAATATGGCTGTGTAAAAAAATTAGGTAGGTACCTAATACGAAAATCTATAGGTACGAAAATCTAAATTTTCCAGGCTAACCTGGAACATTCACCGTAAGGTCAAGTCGCACTGTCACATGTCACACTTAAAATGCATAGGTACCTAGTGATAGTGCTCCCACACCCACACTACGCGATTTAAAGTTAATACTTAATAAACATTAATAAAAAGAATAATGTCCCTTGATTGAACATGTTTACTAATATTTGAACAGAAATGCGAGAGCACCCTTGACCCTTACGTTACAGTAGCGGCATGGACCTTACCAACCACTTCAACTAGTCGGACCATTCCGACCATTAGCTGCCAGTGCAAATTATTAATTAGATGTTTTAACCAGCTTAGCGACGACAAATTCTCCGACTACCTGAACCTGATGAGAGAACGGGACGCTCGCTATACGCTCTACTTCGAGAACTTGGGGCTGCAGATGAAGCTTAAGGAACTGGACGGCAGCTCATACCCGGTGGATGATGCTTACGGAGACCCAGTCGTATTGCGAATAGCACTTGAAAAGTGCAGGTAAGTTGGCGGGTGCAGGTATTTATAATGGTTAGGGTGAGCGACCTAGGCAATGTACAGAATGTCCGATATTTGATTATTACAATATAATTATGGCACATTCAAATAGGGTAGGTTGATGGGTAGGTCACTAGGTCCATTTGGCTGCGTAGGTGTGTATAAAAATATTGCTATTCTCAGTGCAATCTGTTTTATCAGGGAGCAATTATCAAATACCCAAAGGGAACTAAATAAGATGACGGACGAGTATGCGGACACTGTGCCTCGGCGGGATTATGACACTTGCGAGGCGAAGTACTACAATCTCTCCAAGGCTTTGGACAAACTAGAGGAAGAATATAAACTTCTTCGACAGACTAATAAAAGGCTTATGGGTAACCAACCTACCTATTTCTGTACCTACTATATTATATTTTCTATGGCAACAACTTATAACTATTAGTTAACAGGAAAGCGAAGGTGAATTTAAAGTTACACTAAAAGTAAGCAGGTAATATAATGCGGAATTCGAATGCAGAATTCAATTTTGGTAGGTGCAACGGCTCCCCTGCATCCTGCAATAACTAAGTAGGTACTGCAGCTCTCGCTACCTGGTTAATGTGGCACTCAACATCTACGTTTATCTTGATTGGATTCCAACACAAGTTGCTAAAATGTTTCTTTCAGATGCAAAAGCATCCATCGAGGAAGAGTTGTTTGATACAAAGGAGCGATGCGGTGAGCTGGAACGAGCTGGCACACCTCGCCCGCAGTGGGAGCTGTGCGCCGACTTTATAGGTGGAGGAAGAGAAAGGTTAGATATATCTAGCTTAACCAAACTTACGTAGGTAGGTAATATTGTAAACATCTAGGTTACTTGCATCAATTTTTTCTACGTCCTTGCTCCTTGGCACCTAGTATTCAGCTTTTGAAATAGGTGGGTATAAGGTGAGATATTAAACACATGGGATTGGTGCAGGCGCAGTTAGTGGTACAGATCGTGAGACTGGACATATTTTGATTTAGCGCTTTAGTCGATATCGTTATCGTTATCATCAGCCTGTCATCCACTGGTGAAGATAGTCGCCGCGGTGCTATTATCGGTCCGCAAACTTATCGCAAGAGGGGCGGGTAGTTCAAGTCACCATCCCGGGCATCTACGGATTGACGGAGTTGCTCTGTATGCCACCGCTGCCAGTTCCGCCACTCGTCGCACAACTGCCACCGGCCTATGGCATGTGTGCGGTGTGACGAGTCACAACCGGCCAGCGAGTGCCCCCGCCCGAGGGAAGAGCCGCCGACATATGCGAACTGTGGATGTGTGCTCCACACACGGCGAACAGCTCGTCGTGCTCGGTGTTCCGTCGCGAGACGCGCAACCCAAGGGCGGACACTGTGGCGCACACCACCCCCGCCACGACAACTACAACGAAGCCCGCAGCAGCCCAGCCAAAGGGTGAGCTCAACGCCCCTAGCTCGCTAATGGCCGCGGCTAACGAGCCGGGTGCAAAACGCTGCACAAGGCGCAGGCGCAGGAAGGTGAAGCAGGCGCCCCTGCAAACCAAGACTGCAAACCAAGAATTTTCTTTCCCCAAAACTGGTCTTTTTCGTCGAAATTGCTCTCTTAAACGCCGCTTTCTTTAGTTCGGTAAGAATTCAGAGTGCACAACACAGTGATAGTCAACGAACAGTCAACATGACTTTGACTTGTGATCGACTTTGGTGTGGTTTTTTCGGTTTCGGTTCAGTTGGAAGGCGCCACTCTGAAGTTGTGTTTGTTGACTAGTTTACAGGTCAAACTCGTAAACCCACGTCTCGTTACCAGTAACAATGCGTTTCATAAATGTTGGGTCCGAACTGACTCGTTCTAGCATGTCCTCAGCGACTTTCATGCGATTGAGTTTTTGGAGAAAATTCAGATCTTTTGAGACTAGCCGAGCAGCAACATATTTCATACCCAAATATAATAAACTTGGTTTCATTGGTTTAATTCTTGAAAAAGTGATTGATACTTTGGTTTTGCAACAAACATTACTTATTCTTAACATTAAGGTGAGGTTCTATCAATAATCTCAACGCTCAACTTAATTTAAGTCGATCTGCGGTCCGAAATGTTTATCGGAGGTACCTAGGGACTGGGGCGGCTTTGTTCGTCGCCAAGGAAGGCCACGATCTCGGGTCACAACTGAAAGGCAGGATCGATTCATCGTAACGACCAGCTTGAAAAATCGTCCTCCATTGAGATACAAAACCAACTTCGCGACTTCCACGGAGTATCTGTGAGCGCTCGAAATGTACGGAGAAAGTTAAAAGAACACGATATGGTACCACACAAATCAGCTAATGGGCCCAAACTAACGCGAGCCCACCGAACAGCGTGCCTTCATTTCGCACGCAGTCATTTAAATTGGACACAGCAAGATTGGAGCCATGTACTCTTTTCTGATGAGTCTAAAATTGTGTTACATGGCAATAATGGAAGGAAGAAGGTCTACCGACGTAAGGGAGAGCGTTTCCCACAATGCTGCTTTGAAGAGAGGGTTGCTTATGGCGGTGGCTCATGGACTGTCTGGGGCCGTATATTCGCGAGCGGCAAAACTCATCTTGAGATTGTTACAGGACCACGGCTGCCAACATTAAATGCTGAATGCACATACATTCGTAAGTGCTTAGAACCTCACGTGATACCATACGCGGACTATGTGGGCACAAATTTCCTTTTTATGCATGACAATGCAATAGCCCATGCGGCTGGCATCGTCAGGGAATATCTTCGGGATGTGAACATCACAGTTATGGACTGGTCAGCCAGAAGCCCAGACATGAACCCCATTGAGCAAATGTGGGACGAGCTAAAAAGACGTGTTAGGGCTCGTCAGCCAGTTGCCCAGACGATGCAGGAGTTGAAAACTGCCATAGAACAGGAATGGGAGATGATCCCTCAAAATTTCATAGAGCGGTTGATAAACCGTATGCCTAATCGTATGAGAGCTGTGGTAGATGCCCATGGAGGCAACACGCGTAATGAAATGAAACCGTTATTTGATAAAACAAGTTTTTTATTCAAAAATCAATTGCCTTTAACAAGGCGCATATCCGATTTGTTAGGCGTAGCTCCATGTCGTATGGTATTCTGAATTCAAATTTAAAACAATACGATCGAAAAAGATGGTATAATGTATCAGGTTTAAAACTGCATCAACAGTTTTTGTTCAATCTAGCAATTATATTTCGGTGGGGGCCATCGAAACCTAAACTCTAAGGTGGGCCGATAGATGTGTCTAGAAGTGTATCATCTTGATGGAAAGAGGAAAGATTAGCTGTAAAGCAGTTAACACTCTCAGATTTACTCAGCAGTGATATGTATTTATTTACTTTCACGGGTATTCATTCAATTGAACTTTTAGAAACATTGGTGACTTCTGTTAGTGAATCGGCCTTAAATGCTCCAACAAACAAGAAAATGTTATCTGTGAGAGACAGTTATTTTAACAATGGTAAAAATTACACAAAATAATTATGTCATTTGGAGCCATTGGTGTTTTGTTTGGTATAAATAGGCAGACATATTCTAATTATTTGAATAATATGAACGAGTATAATGATGGAGTGATGGTGGATAAAGGATGTAGGATTGAATTTGAGTGTAATAAAGTGAGTGTATTTTATTTATTTATTTTAAGAAGACTTACAGACTAATACATAGAAATTGATTTTATAAGAGTACTTGCAAACCCGGCGAACTCCGTTTCGCCACCAGATGGCTCCGTTTAATGTAACATTTCGTTTGGTGATTAAAAGATGGAGAACATCTTTTTCCTGAATTGTCTTTTATACAAACCTCATGGAGCCTAAGACTTTTCCAATGGATGCAAAACCCTGGAAATCGGTTCGTGCATTTCGGAGTTATAGCGTCAGGAAGGAAAACACGACTTATTTTTATATAGTAGATTGTATTGACAAATTGCTAATTACAAGCCTCCACATATAGATAAAAAGAAAAAACAAAAGGGCATAAAAAAAGAGTAGGTACAGAAGACAATTAATTACTAACAAATATTAATTGTTAGTTTTCATTTGATGTCGCAAGGATGCTACACTGGTGCAGAATAAGTCGATATCAAATTCCTTAGACAGTCTATTAAATTCAAGTGCACTCCTTATTGAAAAAACATTTTTCATATAGTTAGTCGATGTGAAGCGCTGACGTAATCCCATTAGGTTTGTGCGCAATGTAATTTTGCAACAAGTTCAGGACAGTCAATATGGCCATTTGCGATACGCATATGCGTAGTTATGTCTCCCCTATGGCCAGAGGAAGGAAGTGGTATCGTTTACAGCGGTGGTTATAGTCAACTGAGTATTACTGTGCTCTATAGTCAATGTTATTAACGTGCGCTATAGTTAAGGATATTAATTGAATAATTAGTATAACATTTGATTAATTTTGCAATTTACTTAAATATTTATAACATAACATAACATCACGCCTTTTATCCTCAAAGGGGTAGGCAGAGGTGCACATTATACCACTGTACAATGTAACACCCACTTTTCACTATTTATGTTATGAGTCCCATGTAATAGGGGGTGAGCCTATTGCCATATACCGGGCACAGTTCCAGACTCCGTGCTACTACTGAGAATTTTTTTAAAACCCAGTAATACTTTGCCCGACCCGGGAATCGAACCCGAGACCCCTTGCTCGGCAGTCGCAATTGCGACCACTCGGCCAACGAGGCATAAATATTTATAATTATTATTTATTTATTTAATCATTTATGTACACACAGACAGCACAGAGGATAACACATATATAAAATAAGAGTACAAAGGTATTATTATTAATAAATAAATTTTTCTGTGACGTAAATTATTTAAGAAAACTGTCAGTGTCGTTCTTATACAGCTTCACAATTTTGACACTAGAGGCGCTATTTAGGATCTTTGCATCGCCAATAAAACATTTCAGATGGTGGCAGCTGGCGAGTGGTCTCTCGTCACGCGATACTCTAAGAGTGTTGTTGAAGGAGCTCGGCCCAGCTGCAGAAAGTGACCATCTTGAACATTTTGACGGACTTGTAAGGCAACATTCTTCACTAAACTCAATTCTCTTACATTTTAAAACAACACACAGGCGACATCACCTTAAATGTACCTTCCTAATCAAGTAAGCCCTCCGCTGAATGATTTCTTAGTTTTGGGTTACTGCTGCTACTTATATTTTTTCTGTACTTAGGGTACGGATCCAGTCATTCCCCCATACCTCCGATATGAGGGCAAGGTGCGGAACCTGCGCTTGTCACGACGAGAGATCAGCGTCATCATCAACGACATCTGGCTCGGAAAAATAGACTGCCAGGATATGCCCATGCAGGACTATGTTACTAAGTACTTTGAGGACAGGTGCGTCAGGCAGCATCTTCAGTAATCTAGACTAATCGTACAGTTATTAGTTGTCCTAGTCTGCACAGGACCCCAAACAAGTACCTATAAGCTCTAACGTAACCGGCATCTGTTTTTCGGTTATAGATGAATGGTAATTTATTTTAGCATCCAAGTAGGTAGTTGTATATTGGGTAAAATCAGGTATCAGCAGGCATCGGTGCGCGCGGAGTGGGCGTACAACGTGTGCGCAGGCGCGGAGCAGATGCTAGACGAGCCGCAGGTGAAACTGTTCTGGGGCGTGCTGCACGGTCACCTCAGCGAGCGCATCTACTGGGGCCACCGCGCGCACTGGCTCGCACTCAAGCACAACCTATACAAGCGCTCCAAGGACCAGGAGGTAGCGCTGTCTCTTGTTTTTCCTTTTTAACTTTAATACACCCACCTAGTGTTCTAGCCACGGTCTTACAATAAAAACTATAATATGGCTAAAAGAGAATATGTGTTCTTACTTCTTATAAAAAACGCCGCCGCCGGTTGGTAGTTCAACACCCATTCCTTACTTAGATCAAACACTATCTAACATGCTTGGGTCGTGCGGTCCATGGCCCTCTACGGCGCCCCTGTGTGGGCGCCGAACATGCTGCGGCGTCCCGCTCGGACGCTGCTCATGTCACAGAGGGTCATGGCGATCCGAATGATCCGCGGATACCGCACGATCTCCGGGGAGTCGGCGAACCTCCTTGCCAGATTACCGCCGTGGGATCTGGAGGCGAAGGTGCTCGCGCGCGTGTATCACATGCGCGCGGAGGCACGTCGCCGGGGCGAAACTCCGCTGCCGCGCCAGATAAGTGCGTGGCGGGATGAGCTCCGGCGCGATCTCATAGCGGAATGGCAGCAACGACTGTCGCAACCGAGGGCTGGGCTCGCTGCCATTGCAGCGGTAAGACCCCTCTTTGAGGAGTGGCTTGAGAGACGCTACGGCGTCCTCACCTACCGCCTGACGTAGGTCCTCACCGGACATGGAAGTTTCGGGAGGTACCTGTGTCTGATGGGGCGGGAGGAAACGCCCGGGTGTCATCACTGCGAGGACCGTCCTGAGGACACGGTGGAACACACCGTAGCGGAATGCCCTGCGTAGGCTGAGCACCGCCGTGCCCTCAGGGAAGTGATCGGCGATGGCGACCTCTCGCGTCCGGGCCTAGTGCAGGCCATGATGCGGAGCGAGGGGGACTGGGATGCCGTCTCCTCCTTTTGCGAAGCAGTCATGCTAGCTAAGGAGGAGGCGGGACGCGTGAGGCAGCGAAGCGCTGCCTCCTCGCAACCCAGCCATCGCGAAGGACACACCGGGCGTCGGGGATCGCGGGACGATCTCCGGCCACCGTAAGCGCGGGCCTGCGGACGGCGAGCATGGGTGGCTCCCCGTCCGACCAGAAACAGACCCGAGCGTACGGCGCGTCGCGTTCCGCGTGCGCCTCAAAGAGCCATCAGACCACCACAGATGGGGCTCAATAGGGCCGATGCCGATTCGTAGTCGCGGAGAACCTAACGGGTAACCGGGGCTCCGGCTCGACGTGCAGGAGAAGGAACGGGGTGGTTTTTAGTCAGTAAGAGTCTGACACTCCCTTCCGCCTCACCCAGGCGGGAGCAGTCATTCGATGACCTTCTCCCCTTAAAAAAAAAAAATCTAACATGCTTAGGGGTTAGGAGTTATCGTTAGGAGTTATCTTTTAATTCTAAAAAGTATTTTTGAATTAGAAGATAACTCCAATCTTATGTTTGTTTCAACAGACCATTTCCATTGAAGAATTCGAGAAAATTGCAAAGTCAACGTTCCCGTTAAAGAGTGATGTGGACATCAAGAATCTAATGGACGTGGTGCGTAAGCAACTCAAGCTGAAGATCAACAGCATCGACATCAATTTGGACAAACTGTTTCAAGAGGTCGCTGCTTCTTACTGCTTACCTACTTGTTTATGGAAGGGGCCGGCAAACGAGCAGGCGGGTCACCTCATGGTAAGCAATCACCGCCGCCAATGGACACTCGCACGCAACATCAGAGAAGTCACAAATGCGTTGCCGGCCTCTTTGGAATTGGGGATGGGAAGAAAATTGAAACACCCGGTTACCTCACTCACACAGCTAAACACAACGCAAGCATTGTTGCGTTGATAGTGAATGTGTTAATATTAATGTCATTGTTGACCTGCTAGAATGAAGAAGGATTCGACCGCGTGGAGTTTGCGCGCGAGTTGTTCCGGCAGCGGCAGGTCGCGCAGGACAAGTACATCCGCGAGGTGGTGGCCGAGCTCGGGGGCAAGCACGCCGCCAACGCCGTCACCGTGGACAACCTCAAACGGGCGTTTGCCATCGTCGACCCTGCCATAGGTACCTGTTCTCTAGTTACCAATCGTAATAGATATTTAAAACCGTTTGGCCTTTGAGGCCTTTGTTCAGCAGTGGGCTCTAGGACACTTGTAGGCTGTATGTATGTATCATATGTATGTACGTGTATAACTGTACCCTATATAGATATATTATTATTTTAATTTTAATAATTAATCACACTAGATCACATCAGGATGGAGCGTTATATCCGTTGGGCGTTTTCGGATCCAACGAGTGATATGAACAGCATTCCTCCGATTCCTTTGAGAACATTGACTACCAGATTAGCCGCTGGAGACATAGAACGTATTGGACCAAGGTACCGCGGCACGCAGCGCAGAACTACTTACAAATAATACTTCGACAGTACCTCATAGATATGTACCTAGTACGTACTTACCTACATTAATTACATTGTACCTACTTGCAGTACTCAGTAATATAACAATCAATAATTATTTTTGTTCCATCTTATTATCTCAAGTATATCGTGCTAGTAAAAATTAGCTTTGCTTACTTTTGTAGCGGAACTTTTATGGATCTTTCACCTTAATAATTTTCAATATCTATATGTGGGGACACACAGACATACATTAATTTGCACCGTTAGCATATTAGAAACTTAGCGTCAGTATGTAACCTAGCGTTTAAGGTATGAAATAAAACAGTTGGCATTAGACTCTCGAGCGTATCATTTGTCTCCACACAGATTACCCGACACACAATAATTACAGATATGTACACTGGTATGCTATAATAAGTGGTTAGGTTAGGTTGGGTTAGGTAGAATAAGAAATCTATTACATTCTATTCGGAGTCAATTCAGAGTATTATTTAAATATTACTTTAATATATAAAAATCTCATAACTTCACGCCTTTTAGCCCCGAAGGGGTAGACAGAGGTATACATTACGGCACTTAATGCCATTGTACAATGTAACACCCACTTTTCACTATTTATGTCATGAGTCCCATGTAATAGGGGGTAAGCCTATTGCCATATACCGGGCACAACTCCAGACTCCGTGCTACTACTGAGCATTTTTAAGAACCCAGTAGTACTTTGCCCGACCCGGGAATTGAACCCGAGACCCCTTGCCAGGCAGTCACACTTGTGACCATTCGGCCAATGAGGCAGATATATGAAAATGTATCGTAGTAACATGTTGTACCCACAGAAATATTATCTTTATTATATCTATAGAGCGCCACGAGTGTCGTCATCTTAAATACTGACAATAAATAGACAATCATTTCTAATGAGTCTCCAGTCCTCTTATAACCTTACTCTACTATGAGTACACTCCATAGAGTCGTCCTGTTTCATTCGTATCTGTCAACGTCAAATCAATTTTCTTGTGTCAAAATACACATAACCTAAAAGTATAAAACATTGTTTATTTACACTACTTCACCATCGAAATAATAACCTCAAACTGTATACTTCGAGTAACCATAAAATGGCCGATATAATTGATAATGAGGAAATCGATAGAGATACAGTCGAGCCGGAAGCTTTAGAACAACACTTCCGAAAGAAATATAAGCTGCTAACAGAGTGTGCGGTGACACTTAAAAAATCCTATATTAACAAATTACATGCGACAAAGTAAGTACATTTTTCTAAGCATGTGAATAACTGTGATACACTGATATTTGTTTACATACACTAAAGATTGTTATCCTAACGAAAACTTACAGATCATTAAAACTTGCAGTTAGTCTGTCTGATAATAGCATAGAGGTTTACCAACTAAACAACACATCTCTAACCAAAATATGTAAACTGAGTGGGCATGATAAGACACTCACAGAAGTGGTTTGTGATCCGAAGGAGGATCATCTACTTTACTCGGCTGCACAGGATGGACTAGTGAAACTCTGGGATACCCGGGCCAGTGGCTCTTGTGTCCAAGAGTACAAAGGTTGGTGACATTGAAATAAAACACTTTCATGTGGTCAACCGGAGTAATGTGTCTATTTACTTTATTTATGCAGACGAAGAGGAAGAGCTAGTGAAACCATATGAATGCATGGACATTTCCTGTAATGGAAGGGTGTTGTGTGCTGGCAGCCAGCTAGTGGAGGATGATGCATACTTAGTGTTTTGGGATAATCGAGTCACCAAGCCACTGGGTGGATACTGGAATTCCCACACTGATGACATTACACAGGTGATCCATTCTTACGTATAACATCTTGTCTGCACAAGCTGCACAAGCTCTGGAGCCATAAGCCACAATAGAACTTACATTGTCTTGTGTGGATCGGTTTTCCAGCACATTACAGGTTAATTACCTAGTGATGTCTTATGGCTCCTACAGAGACTATGCTGGTAGCTAACCTAGGTAGCATTTTATCAATGCTAATTGTTTCTGTTTTAAACAGAATAAATTTATGTTATAGGTAAAATTCCACAAGTCACAAACTGAAATACTAGCCACAGGGTCACTGGATGGTCTAATAAATATATTCAATGTGATGGAACTGAGTGAAGATGATGCCCTAACATACTCTCTGAATGTAGAGAACTCTGTGGAGAAGCTGAGCTGGTTAGATGAGAAGCAGGTGGCTTGTATCACTCAGTCTAATGACCTGCAGTTCTGGGACACTGAAAGTGGGGACTTGCTACGAACCTTCACTAGAGATAAAATATCTAGGAGTATAAAGGTGAGATGCAGATAAAATCACACCAGATTTTCCAACATTATGTAACCACAGACTGCCTTAGCCTGCAATCATACCCTATAATGTGTCGCGAAGAACCTAATGGGTTACCGGGGCTCCGGCTCGACGTGAGGAGAAGGAACGGGGTGGTTTTTAGTCAGTAAAAGTCTGACACTCCCTCCTGCTCACCCAGGCCTGAGCAGGGCTAAGGGCATCACTCTGTATAATAAGCAGGGCTAAAAAAAACAAAAAAAAATTAAGTACTTTGCTGTTTTACTGAAAATTTATTATGACTAATATTAATGCTTAGCAATTTCTTCTGATATACATCCACAGAGAAGTAAAGCAGATGACTGTTACTTGGTAGACACATACACTTCAATAGACGACACTACGGTGGTACTAGCAGGCTCTTACGGGGGGAACGGGTAAGATACATTCCAATATTATTTCAATGATATATTTGTTTATGAGAATGAAGACATAGTGCTTGTTCAAGTAGGACGCGCGGCGATGGTACACCTTGCAAGTTTGTGTTCATGTTAGCTGCCTGGGCTGAAGAGTTTGTTGTTTGTGAAAAAAGATTTTTGTGTTGGATAGTCCATTTACGGAGGTAGTCTAGGCTTACATCACGCTACTATCAATGGTCGCCGAGCAAAGCGGTTGAAACCTTCGGAAGTACAGCTAGTGTTTGACATTTCGTGACCGCGACCGCAAGTCAATGTGAATAAATAAGCACAAAATAAAGTACCTACTCATAATCCCCCGAAATATATTTTTCTAATAATTGAGTTCGACATCCATTACTTGGATTGTGTCATCGTGTCGTACGTACACGGCTTTACTCTAAAGTAAAGCCGTGGGAAGTCAGGATGTTCGTCTATGTAATAGTGGTGTAGTTGTAAGACAATATCTGTACAGACACGTGCTGCGCTCGGCGGCGGCGGCGGCGGGCGGCAGACTGCAGCCCGCCGCGCACTTCCCCGCCAACCGACAGACCGTCAGCTGCTGCCACTACGACAAGGACGTGAGTATCCGCCATTGTGTCACATGTTAGCGTAGACATGAGTCAAGACGTTATCTTTATCTTGTGCTTCCCCAGCGCGACATGCTGGTGACTGCGGGCGAGGCGGCCATTATCTCGGTGTGGATCGGAAGTGAGGCTGCAGAAAATGAAACTACTTTTGGGAAGATATCTCAGTCTATGAACAAGCTTCATATGAATAGGCACAAGCCCTACTGACGTTATTACTGTTTACGACTGAAATAAATTATATTTAACAACGTAAAAAACTGCATGGCAACTTCATTTTAAACCTAATTGCTGAACCGACTGGCTCACCAGTTATTCTGTATTTATACTTGTATAATTATCATACTAAAGTGGAAATGGGCAGGTCATGTAGCAAGGTTACAGGGCTATAGATAGAACAAAATAATTACAAAGGATCGATAGGAAAAAGAAAAAGAGGAAGACCGCACACACGATGGGTGCGTGTGGCTGGAGTACGCTGGCTAGATACAGAAAAATATCGAGAAAGATGGCAGTCTCTGGAGGAGGGGAACCTCAGGGGTTCCCTAAAACTAAGCTTAATATGAAATATTTTTCTTTTTTGGAAACGCACATTTCTTTTTAAATTGGGAAATACAAGGCCTTTTTATTTTTATTCTTATTTTATTATTTTATAATTACAATATTAATTAAGAGAAAAGGCAATGCACATTGCCATGTTGCATTAATTCTAGATCAACAGGGAGCGAGTACCTACCAGCCGATATCTTCGGAAATTCGTTTTTGATGCGGTTTATGCACAGCACAGCTTCACCTTAACCGTGAAGCATACTCCAAGTAAAGGTTCTTGATAACAAACCAAAAATTGTATTTATGGAAAGAAAACAAGACATTCAATAACTTAGCACTTTTATCGAAACCCAGAAATATTACTAATTGTAAATTAAACAGCATTGCTATGCATAATAAAGTTACCGTAAAACGGGATGAATATAATGGTACAACGATTTTACAAGAATTATTTACCCTCTTTGCTGCTAGACTATTCTGTAACGATTAATTCGGAAGATCGAAGTGAACTCGATCGTGGTCCGCCATGTCATTAGTTGTTAGAATTAGAACGTTCTTCGAAAGTTCGAATTGACATCTTACAGAATAGTCTAGCTGTATCTACCCCCCCTCGAATTCATATCCACCTCGTTTTACCGTTACCATTGTAACCTAGCCCCAGATGACACACACAACAATATTTTTCTTAAAATCCCATAACTAAAACTCATACACTCGAAATACACAAAATTTGTACAAAATCGAATGTATTAAAAAATCCAATATTCATAGCCGTCAGTACCAAACATTTACATTGATAATTATATTTAATGCAGTCACTGTCGACATGTCGGTCGCGGTCGTTTCAGCATAGGTATGCTCGTACGACTTGCTCCGCTTGCCTCCGTGTGTTGCCAGAAACGAGCGTATACGAGCGCATACGAGCGCCAGTCTGAACCCGCTCCAGGCAGCAACCGACATCCCGGTGCACAGACTGTGACACAACCTCCTTACTAGTTACAACCTAACCAGTCAACCAATATATCCCAATCAATATACATTTGTACTCAATTATAATCTCAAACAGCGGCCTTTCGAATTTATTAATAACTACCATTTAAAAAAATAAATGATGCAATAATGTAAATAAATAAAAGTTCATGTTATAAAATCAGTGTCGAAGTAAGTGTATATTATTGTTTCGCGGATCGATCGTATGATCGTATCTAATGCTGCACCTTTAGCCAAAATTTTATAATAATACGTATAAACGTATAACTAGAGACTAAACTCCCCGGCACGAACCATGTCCACAATTTTCGTGGTGGGGAATAAGTAAACAAATCACCACTACTTACGAAAACTTTGGATATGGTTGTGGTGCATTAAACTTCAATTATCCATTTATATTTTGAGATTTCAAACTAGATTTATCTATATTATACGCGTATCAAAGGTGTGTCGGTATGTACGACTGTGTGTTATAGCTGTGTATGTGTGGAATGAGGCATTATTGCATTGTTCTTTGGTAAACGCAGTGTGGTGTGAGTGTGAAGCGATACAGCTCGGACAGTCGCCAGTCGGACAGGGGAGATCACTTCGTCGACAGGAACATCATCAGTCTGGAACAAACGTCAGCCGCTACACTACTATGTGTGTTACTTTACACCGACGACCTTATTGAATAAATAGTCGCGGCAACAGTTATATGTTTTCTGTAAATGAGCTATGAACTGCCGCCCGTGTGCATTACATAATGTGCCCCTGTCGGGAGTCGAAGGTGGCGTGTACCGTGTACAATAGTGATCGATTACCGGAAGTGGATGGCCTTGTTGGAGAGCAGCCTGTTGGTGTCGTCGCGGTCGGCGAGCGGCAGCGGCGCGGGCGCGGCGTCGGGCGCGTCCTCGTGGAAGCAGTGCGCGCGCACCGCCGCGCCCAGCCGCGCCTCGCCCCACGGCCCGCGCAGCACCACCCACTGCACGCCCAGACCCACCGGGGCCTTGCTCTTCAGGATCAACTGCACGGGAGGGATAGGTTACATGCGGCAATCGGTCCGCATGCCACGTTCACATAATACCGCCGCGGTACCTGGTAGGTGATCTCCCGCTGCGAGCTCTGCGTGGGGTCGCGCTGGTTCTTGTTGACGAATGCTTTCACTACCCACTGGTGGCCGAAGGCGGAGAAGCGCGACGTCTCGTAATACAGCTTATGCATGAACTCCTCCGTACGATACGGCTTCAACTGCAAGTCTGCGACATAGTTATGAGTATATTGAGTATGAAGTTTCTAATAAGTATTAGCAGAAATAAGTATGGTACAGATTAATGTTTTCATCTGTAGGTTAGGCGACTGATACCCTCTTTGTGTTATTTTATTTTTAGCCGTGTGTCGTTGTTTGCATACAAGTTGGTTCCCTGTTTGCATGTATGTATTTATGTTTGTCCACGACTACCTGGCGATCGACTGGACTGATTTTCATGCGGTTTTCAGAAAAGTATTTGTTGCAATAAAAGTTCACTTACACATTACGCTTCATCTAACGCAGCAGTTTATTGCTTATAAGACATGTGGACTCGACCTTGGACTCATCCTCGATAGTAGGTGGAACTTCAACAAGCACTTTTAACAATTGGCTCGTAAATGAGACTACTACTACCCAACCTCGGGGGTCAAACGCCGACATAGAATTATCGAGAGGCAATTGTTTCATATTCAGCGTGAAGAAACACCCAGGTGTCGTCGCTGCGACCACCTGGAGGACACAAACATATGGTGGCGGTGTGCCCTGCATGAGTCGAGTAGGTACCGTCGCACCGCCGTGTCTTCAGTCTCTCGTGCCGACTTTGGTTCAGGCCATGGTACGAAGCGAGGGGAACGAAACGTAATAGAATCCGAATCCGAGCGTAGGAGATCACGAGACGATTTCCGGCCACCGTATGCGCGGGTCTGCAGACGGCGAGTAGCAGACGCATGCCTTACACAATTACTCCAAACTTTTCAAAGTTTCAAATTATAGATAAGTGCCGTGGAGCTGTGAGTACAACAACTTACCGTTAAAGGCAATTTTCTCGTAGGAGAGTAGATCGAGCACCTGATTGTAGACTGCATTCGCCTCATTAACGAGGCGGTCCCGCTCGGCCAGCGTGGCCACCACGTCGGCGGCCGACTTGGCGGGGTGCGCGCAGGCCGCCTCGTGCGCGCCGCCCTCGTGCGCGGGGCCCAGCCACGGGCAGCCGATGCACGCGTAGCGGCACCCCGTCAGCCTGCCGCCACAACACGATCACGTGATTACGTCCTACTTGTATGTCGTTACCCGCGCCTCTGTGCTCATTTATTACATGGAAGTATAATATGCAACTAGGTACCCAATTATTAAATAAATAATACCTACATTGTGATCGAGTAGCTCACAAATCTGAAATACCCTTGCGAATAGCTTTTGAATAAAGTGAATACTGTTCATTACTGTAGACATCACTTACTTCCACAGTGCTAAGCAAGACTGCAGCAAGTCAAGCCAAACGCAGGCGATGGGTTCAGTTCGCATTACACCAGATGTTAGTGTTAGGACGTGTTACATTACGGTAGAAGCAGCGGTGTGCGTTACCCAGGCCAGATGTTGTCGAAAATGGTCATTTGAATCTTATAGATAATTGGTTGCGCGGCTTGTTGCACACATTTTTAAATTTGTTGCGCTTATAGTTTTTTAATTATTTCACAAAAACATTTCCTGCTGGGGTAACGTTACCCCAGCCAGACCTTTTTCTTTCTAAGTAATGGGAATATTTCAATAATTACTAACTATAAAATTAGTTGTGTAGATGAAGTAAATGTTGTGCCTTATTTTGTATTTGTTCTTTCATCGGTTGCGAAGGTATTCGTGATTCTGCTGGGGTAACGTTTTTGGTTTTGCTAGATCTTTGAAATGATTAGGCGGATTCATACTCGTATCATATTTTGTACATGGCTTCTTAGGAATTAGTTTAAATTTGTTCTGCTATAAAACAACCAAAATAATAAATAGCTCAAAGGTTATTTCATTAAATAGCGTTAACGTTACTCCAGCAGGAAATGTTTTTGTGAAATAATTAAAAAACTATAAACACAACAAATTTAAAAGTGTGCGCAACAATTTCAGAAGTCGCACAACTAATTATCTATAAAATTCAAATGACCATCTTCGACAACAACCGGCCTGGGTAACGCACACGAAGCAGCGCACCTGCCGTACCTACGGCGCTTGAGCGGCGGCCGCGCGGCGCACATGTCGCCCGCACCCGCCGCGGCCGCTATAGTGCGCGCCAGTGCCGCGGCCAGGGGCCAGTATATGCTGGACACAATGCGAACCAAACTATCCAAGTAGCCCCTGTTTGTTGACGAATCGACTACGATTTGCGAGAACTTGAACTTCCTGGGGAACAAATATGTAGCCTTGTAGGTAATAGGCGTTACTTCTACCTGTCCACCTACTGGCGATTCCGGCGCGGTTTCACCCGCGCTACTCGGCTCCAATTAATCGAAGCGTGATGTTTATAGCCTGTAGCCTTCCTCGATAAATGGACTACCTATCCCACATAAAAATAATTACCTAAATTAATCCGAACCAGTAGATGGCTTATTAAACATTAAACTGTCAAACACCAAGCGGTCACCGGTGACCGCGACCTATTGTTCTTTAATTGTGTCTATAAAACCGGTACTCGACGAGTTAAAATGTAAGTATATTAGGTACCTATACATATACAGGTTGTCCCTGTAGTCGACGTTCAAATAGCACCGGGTTATAGGCAAATAATCAAATTTACATAGGTGGGTAGTTTTAAATTACAATGACTTATTTGTAATTCACGTAATAGTAGGTACACCACGTGCCAGCCTTTTGACTCTTGTACTAGATTTAGTTTTTCGTCGAATCATAATACCTGAGCCAACTGAAAAAGAATGTCGTTTTATGAGGAACCAAGTATTCTTAATAAGGTGTTTACCTTATTGTACTATACTGAAAAGATAATGTACTGCGCTAATAGTGGCGAATTTCAAGAAAATTGATGCATAAATTTGAACGCACCGATATGAGACACAATTGTACATACATTGTGTCTGCCGTGGATCCACGTTGTCCACGAGACACATGACGGGTTAATGATGATTCTAAAATGGTATACCATTCCCTTCACCAAAAAATTTCAACGATAAGTAAGTCCGTTTCCAACAATTTATTTGGAATAAGGTGTTATTTATTCCAGTGTGTTATACCCGAAACGCACTTAAAACCCTCGGTATCCTCTAGGTATAATTTGAACGCGACATAACATCATCATTGCTAAACATGTTGGATATTAGCGAGGATCTCTTCATCGTCTGTTTAGTCTAGTGTCTAACTGTCTACTTATGATTTTGTTAGTAACATTCGTCGGCAACACTCGCAGTATCCGTTGGCAATATTGTTGCTAGAGGACTAACTGTTGTAGATCACATCTCACTATTCATTAAAGAACATTTTATATTCAACACCATGTTGCATGGTAATGTTTAGGTAGTAAAATCAATATGATACATTTATACAAGTCAATAAACATAGGTATTTATCTTTTTATACTTGATACTTTGATAGGATGACTATTGGCTACCATCTCGTCTGGTGTTAAGCGATGGTATAGGTGTGTAGGTAGTATAGATATAAGATATAAAGCTACGAGTTCCAATAAAATATTATTACCTACTATAATGCGTATTGTGTTTGATGGTCCATTTATCGAATCGTCATCATCATCATCATCAACAGCCTATAAGTGTCCACTGTTGAGCAAAGCGTCTTCTCACTCGGAGAAGGTTTGAGCATTAACCACCACGCTCGCTCAATGCGGGTTGGCGATTACAAACTTATTATTTTAAACCCAGGTTTCCTTACGATGTTTTCCTTCAGCGTTTGTCAGTGGTGTCTAGATAATCTTAGAAGTACATATAACTCGGAAAAAGTCACATTGATACTTGCCGTTGGTAGGTTTCGAACCCGCACCCTCATGCATTAGAAGTTGCATTATGCTGGTCTTAAACCTCCGGGCCACCCCGACACCATTTATCGAGTAAGGCTATAAAACTTCACGCTGCAGTCAATGGGAGCAGAAACCGCGTGTGAGGTGCTAGTTAACTTACATGTATAGAATGGTTACGTCACGGTATGTCACGTTTATCATTATTATATCATACAAACGCATCGTGACATACGCAGAGTGCTGACCCTGGCTGCCGTTACAGAGTTACTGTGGTAAACTGTTAACAAGAATGCGTCACCTCTCCTCGCACGTGTTCTCCTCGTGGTGCTGCAGCGAATGGCGCGGGAATACGCGCGTGCAGAACTTGCACTCGGAAGGGAGCTCTGAGACTGTCTTCTCGACGGCTAGGTTCCTGGAGGCGGACGTCTTAGAGATTTCCACACGACAGTTGGGGCACGTTGCTGCCTCGTCGCGCAGCCGTGCATCCGCGAGTAAGTGCGTGAAGCATGGAGCACACATGAGGTGACCATTGCTACACTGTAACACAATAACCACATCAGTGAGGGGCCGGGCAGGCCCTTCCCTTGTGCCCTGCTCAATACCATATATATTATGTTCAGTGCCAACTACCTATTTCAAATTATAGGCATTTGTTTAGGATGAGACTGACAGATAGAGAAAATTAAAGGTATGTGTGTGCTACAATGTGGTCTAAGTCTGGCTGTGGTTACTTGTGATACCTGTAACCAAACTATATATTGTAATTGTATTGTTGTAACTGTAGAATATATACACTCAATAGTGTGTTCCACAACAGACTTAATGCATTTGAATAGCTTTTATGATCTGCCAAATCTTAACAATTAAACAACAGTCTATGTAAGCAAGATTATTAATAAATTACATAAACTTTATTCTGTAGTCTACAATATTATCCGCAGTCTATAAATTTGAAAATATGGGATATTTTTATTGTAATTTTTTATTAGAATTTTACTTTACCTACCTACTTGTTATAAAAACTGTTTGTTTTTTATTAAACTGTCAAACACCAAGCGGTCACCGGTGACCGCGACCTATTGTTCTTTAATTGTGTCTATAAAACCGGTACTCGACGAGTTAATATTATATAACATAGTGATAATAATCTTTAAATATCTAATAGTTAATGAATTTTAGTAAAACGTCATTGTCTGCATCAATAAGGATTGTTATTAGGGATAAGGAGAGTTAAGGGATTTCTAAATAAAGAAAGAAATAAATCTCTGAAACATTTCTTTATTGAAAATGAAATGTTACAAGAGTATGTACAGACTAAGTTTACTTGCTATGTTATTGATCATAAACTAATATTAGTCTATACAATATCACAGATACTTATTTCCTAATATTGTACTCATAAAAACATCACAATTTGTTCAGATTATGTACACATTTCATACAAATAGGTCATGGGTCACACACACATTGTCTAATTTAATGAACATAAACCATAATTATAAATAACAAAACCCAAAACAAGGGGCTATCACAGATACTCAGCTGTGGTATCTTTACAATGATAACCAAATCATATAAATTATACATTGTACGCCATAACTTATAGGTACTAAACAAAATGCTGGGTGACGCACCGACATGGTCACCACGACACGATTATCACCTATGTTGTGAGCTGAAGGCTCAGCTTACGTAACAAAGAAAAAGATCTGTAAAACAGCTGATTCGCGCATCAACACGATCAGCTGTTTTAGAATACCTGATACACGGCCGCCTGAGGCAGGTCCAAGCAAACTGCGCAGCAGAGGATTCCTCCTAGCCTATGCTCGAGCTTGTCACTCCCCTCTTTGTCGGTCAGTTTACGTTTTTTAGTCAATGGCTCATCGGAATCTTTCGCGTCAATCTCGACCTCACCCTCACTAGACGATGGCATAGGCTCACTTTCGGTCGCCTCAGCCATTGTACAATGTAAATAACAACAATATTACGAAACAAACCGTGCTACTGCGTCAGATAGACGCTAAAAGCTATGACGCGAAACAAGTACCTATCAATGAACTTCGTTACAAACAAAGGTAATAAAGGTTTGTTGTGTTTATATAGATTAGATGATACCACAGTCCCACACGTTTTACAACAAAATATATTAGTGTGGCGCAGCGTGTCGTAGCACCGCGACGACTAATCGACTACAATACAAATACTTAGTAATCGACGCTGCCACGCACTTGCGATATGCCACGAAATACAAAGAGAAGAGAATATAATATTTTACTAATCTATATCTATACTAATAATATAAAGAGGAAAGATTTGTACCTATTTTTGTATGTTTGTAATGAATAGGCTCAAAAAGTACCGAGCCGATTTAAAAAATTCTTTCACCAATAGAATGCTACATTCTTCCAATTTGACATATGCTACATATTTATTTTGAAAAAAATTAGGGATGCTTGGTAAAATTTGAACAACGTAACCGAAGGTGTAGAAAAATGAGTCTTAAAATGTCTTTCGTTGAATGCGCTGCTGAAACTATTAGCGATAGAACAAAATAATGTACAACAATATTGAAGAACATCATAATGTCTACAAAATCTCTGCGGTAGCATATGTCCAACTATTGTATTTATGTCACTACAACAATCCAAATTTCCAAAAATAAATAATTGTCTACCCCGTGCTGCCCCGTGCGAAGTCGGGACGGGCTGCTAGTCTCTATATATACTATAAAAAAATGATCGTTAGTCTCGTTAAAACTCTCGAAAACGGCTCGAAGACTAAAATTAGCTAAATCAAGCTAATTTTAGTCTTGAATTATTTGTGGATTTCCAGGGAAAAATCTAGATGACCCGATTAACTTTGTACCGTCTCAAGCATTATCTCACCTTTATAAAAAGTTTTGTGTCTCACTACCTCTATGGTATTTACTCAAAAAGTAAAACGTAGCATGACACAGTAATGTATTTCTGCCTTTAGTTTTTACTGAATGTTTCAGGGTAAAACGCTGCGATTTACAGTCTTACTTACGTTTGCTTTTATGGCTTTTAAATAGCTCGATGTCGAATAGTGTGATGGTAAAATCTACCGGGTTTTAGGCGTATGGACCGACACATTTTTTTCAGGGATTTCGGAAGTTATTAGCTACCTACCTTTTACTCATAATCCTTTCGTCCCAAATGTCACGATTTGGCTACTGATAGGATTTTTATTAAAAACAAAATGTTTCCTTTAACTCAAAATAACTTCTTTGTTTGTTGGTCTAATGGTCCAATAAATTTTGTTATATTCTCCAGTCTATTATACTTATGTAACAAATAGTTATAAATAAATACCTATCCAAAACAATCTTTTTTTATAAAAATGGTTTATTTTTTTTAGTTATTAAACTATCGTAAGGCATAATAAGTTAATTAAATATCGCGTGTTACTCACGTGAATATACTGAGAAAAGTTCTCAGTCTCAAACAGTTCTCAGTCTCAGTAGTACCTAGGCTGCGTCGACCCTTTTTTTTTAAGGGGGGAAAATCATCGAATCACTGCTCCCGCCTGGGTGAGGCGGAAGGGAGTGTCAGACTCTTTCTGACTAAAAACCACCCCGTTCCTTCTCCTGCACGTCGAGCCGGAGCCCCGGTTACCCGTTAGGTTCTCCGCGACTCCGATTCGTCATCGGCCCTATTGGGCCCCATCTGTGGTGTTCTGATGGCTCTTTGAGGCGCGCGCGGAACGCGACGCGCCGTACGCTCGGGTCTGTTTCTGATCGGACGGGGAGCCACCCATGCTCGCCGTGCGCAGGCCCGTGCTTACGGTGGCCGGAGATCGTCTCGCGATCCCCGACGCCCGGTGTGTCCTTCGCGATGGCTGGGTTGCGAGGAGGCAGCGCTTCGCTGCCTCACGCGTCCCGCCTCCTCCTTAGCTAGCATGACTACTTCGCAAAAGGAGGAGACGGCATCCCAGTCCCCCTCGCTCCGCATCATGGCCCGCACTAGGCCCGGACGCGAGAGGTCGCCATCGCCGATCACTTCCCTGAGGGCACGGCGGTGCGCAGCCCACGCAGGGCATTCCGCTACAGTGTGTTCCACCGTGTCCTCAGGGCGGTCCTCGCAGTGATGACACCCGGGCGTTTCCTCCCGCCCCATCAGACACAGGTACCTCCCGAAACTTCCATGTCCGGTGAGGACCTGTGTCAGGCGGTAGGTGAGGACGCCGTAGCGTCTCTCAAGCCACTCCTCAAAGAGGGGACTTACCGCTGCGATGGCAGCGAGCCCACTGCGTCGACCCTAACGTCGTGTGTATGTTACACAATTACGTCACGGTTTCAATAACCGAACCGGACACCGAACCTGTCACAGCACCTGAGTGGAGTGGCCGAGCTGACGAAACTACGCCTGGAGGACGGGAGCTCGCCAGGGAAGTGTGGAAGACTAAGCAAGTGCTAAAGACCTAGGCAGACCCTTAAATTTTTTTTTTAATATACCCACATACTTCATTAATTCTAAACCTAGTTTTATTTCTCTCTTGTACACGTCTTATAATCGTGACAATGGCGTAACGTCGTGTGTATGTTATACACGACGTTAGGGTACGGGCGGGCGACTCGCGAGTCGCGAGATGCGCATGCGCAATTGCTATATGTGGACGCATGAAAGGCGTGACGGTGTAAGAAAGAGCTTTTCAGACTTTAAAACTTATACATATTATTCACTTTGGTTAGACCTATAGAAATAAAATTATAAAGACAGAAATATATTTCCGTGGCGCAGCGTGTCGTGACGCGCCAGTAGCACAATACATTTTAATTACATCTGTTTAATATCAACATTTGAATGGGGGCTACCATTTTTTGCGCATCTACATATGCGCATAAGAGGTTTTTTTGTCAAATCTCACAGCAGCTGACAAATATTGAACATCCAATGGCGTGACACTAATTGAACGAAGAAAGAGAGGTTCCCACAAGCGCCCTCTATTGAGCAAAAATACGGTAGCCCCACTGATAGGATAAGACTATGGATATGAAGCAACTACGAAAAAAACGTGCCTACCTAAACTTCACTTGGTCATCTGTAATCAACGTCTGTCGGGTCCGCTAGTGTAGTTATAAATACATGTAATCATAACTATATTATGTAGTTAACTACTTTTAATCGTAGTTATTAAGGGGGCGTCCATAAATTACGTGGGTAGCCCCCATTCATTATATACATGGTCATAGACTACACATTATCTGGTGAAGGGAAACATCGTAACCAAACTTTTTTTTATTGGTAACTAATCGGGCGGTTTCACCCGCTCTGCTCGGCTCTTATTGACTGTAGTGATATGATATTTTATAGCCTTCCTCGATAAATGAACTATTTAGTACAGAAATAATTATTCAATTCAGACCAGTAGTTCTGGAGATTAGCATGTGGAAACAAACATACTCTTCAACTCTATTAGAAGTATATACTATAAAATAAGAATAGCTGTATGTGCGACTTCATCCACATGGAAAAAGTAGCCTTAGTTATGGTACATCAGCCTTCCAATATAAGTCCTGTCAAAATGATCCAGGTGTTGCAGAGATTACCCAGAACCATACTGGACAGGGGTGACTGGCATTAGAAGAGTATTAGTTTCACATGAGTTGTACGCGCACTTAATATTGATGCTATTTTATAGAGTAGTATTTGAAATACCATTTTAAAGGAAATAAAGCTGCAAGAAAAATAACAAATAATATGTTGAATTTGTATTAATGTAATAATGTCTCTTATAGTTAAAATTGTCCCATTGCTACATGCCACTGGATAATACCTAATGCTACACATTATTTTGTATTTGCAAGTGGTAATGCATATTATCTGAAGACTGCATAGTCAAATAATTCATTTATGAGTAATTGTCTCCAGTCAAATTTTTGGCTTTTTAGGTAAAGACCCAAATGCTGAAATGATAGTCCCTTTAGTTCCAGTAACATTGCTAGTAAGTGGTTGTTGTACCAAACCAGGTTGCTTGATAGTTGGCTTGTTAGAGACATTAGGAGCTGCTTGATCCCACTTGGATTTCCTTTTTTTTTCATCATCGCTTTCAGATTTCTTAGCTACACCAGAAATAAAATCAATTTTAGCTAGTTTTTCTTTTTTCTCCTTCTCCCTTCTATCCATTTCTAGTTTTTGTACTCGAGATAATTCATCATAATATGATTCTTTGCCCCACTTCAGAGGATCATAAATTTCAGGAGGATAGTTTGTATCCAGTTCATTGATATCACAAAACTGTATTAATTTTTCATAAATACTTGGGTTCCTGAAGTTTTTCTTATCTTGTATAATTTTGTTCATATCATATCCTTCACTTAACATTCGACTATAATACTTCGCTATCGTGTCTTGGAGCTCTTTGGGACATTTCCCGGGCGGTTCGGGTGGAATGGTCACACCGTCTTCACATTCATCAGGCTCAGAGCGCGGCACCGCCTCGTCTGTATCGGTTTCCATTGACAGACGCCGCATATCATCTTGGTTCTCCGGACCAGGTGATATTGGTTCTTCGTCGGATACAACAGTATCATCAACGTAAGAAACTAACCTTCGTTTAGGAGTAACAGGGGCAGAGGCCGGCTTATTAATTTCTTCCATTTTTTTTGGACTTGCGGGTTCCGAATGAGTTTCTTTCAGTTCTTCTTTTTCCGGGGTTTGATCTTCCATATCTTCTTCTCCCTCGGAATCGGTATACGTAGCCGTTAACGAGGCTAAAGCCTGAGACGCCATAGCTTACTTTTTAGTCCAAAATGTAAAAGTAAAACTTAAATTCTTTAATCCACGTGTCATGTAATTTACTTTATCAAAATTATACAAAATAAAGTCGTATCACATTAAAATCTCTCGAGTCAATTTATTATTAACTTCTCCCAAACGTCAAAGTCAAACTTAGTCCACAGAGCATGTAAATATACTTAGTCAAACTAAACCATAAACAATGTATTTTTTGTTCTACAAAGAGTACCTATTGACCTATAGGGAGGTACTGCTTGACTTGACATAAGTCCACAAACCACAAAATATAAAAAAAAAATATATTTGGTGGGTCATTTTTATATTTATATTAATTATTTATTGTTTTTTAGGAATTAGGAATTTGACGACTGTTGAGGATTTAGTGATTGGGGACATTGGGGAAGAGGGGTGTATGTAATTGGGCCCCGACAAAACTCTCACTCACACTACGAAACACAACATAAACGTTGTTTCAAGTCGTTTTTGTTTTTCTTTGAGGCCGTAGTGTCTCTCCAGTCTCCAGTCGAGCTACCCCATTCGTTCTGCCGACGCATGGCTCTCTCAACAAAAACTTGTATCAACTTGTTACAACACAAAAGCTAACAAAATACAAAATATTACAAACTTTTAGCTGCTTTTGGATATTGGTGAACGAATAGGGGCGTAGCTAGCGCCGTTTCAATTATATGGGAAATGGGAACCCCAAATGTGCGTAATCAACAATTAAATGATTCCTAATTTTTATTTTATTTTAACATACAACATAACATCACGCTCTTGATCCCTAAAGGGGTAGGCAGAGGTGCACATTACAGCACTTAATACTACCCACTTTTCACTAATTATGTTATAAGTCCCATATAATAGGGGGGCTCACCCTCTGCATTGTATAGATATAATGATAAAGGTGAAGACTGTCAAGACTGAAGCAAAATTATTCGTAAATAGCACGTAAATAGTCAATGCACTGAGCATAGACAGCAGTTCTGTCATTATTTCGAGTTATTTATCCAGTTTCATTTTATAACCCGTCAATCTATTGACTTTGACGTTTCATGATCACTAATAAAGTGAAATAGAGTGGATTGGCAATTTGGCAAAAATGATGGGGGAGGTTCATTGAAGATTGTGGATATAAATTAGTTACGTATGCAGTATTACTGTGACATGGAATGATTCCATGACCAAGAATATTATTACTGTGGCGAAATTAACGACATTAAACGGACAATAATGGCGACGCAGCCAAGTGACTACACAGAGTTTCCGCCCGAGATAATATTGAAGCCCCTCGCTCTCATTGGTTTGTCTGGACTCGACGCGGTGAATAATGCTATCCATAAAGAAATCTGGGATGCATTTTCCAATAATCGTCGTGCTGACCGTACGCCTGTGCGTTTCAAGTTACTTAACAATACCTTCGAATTTCCTGTAGTTAAGCCAAAGCGAAATTCTTACGAGTGGTATATTCCCAAGGGTGTTCTAAAGAAGAACTGGATTCATAAACGTGTATCTCTAATTCCTGCAGTAGTCGTAATTTTTTATGACATGGATTGGAATGATCCTCAATGGAACGAAAAAATCATTGAATGTGCGTCCAAGGTGCAATCAATCCGCGCTGCAGTAGAAGGGCACGCTACACGCGTAGCCGTCGTAGTTATACAGAGCAGACTCTCTCCACCCCCTTCTGAGTACATGCTGGGTGCCGAGAGAGCTCAAGCCTTGTGTGCTGCCTGTGAAATCCAGTCAAAATCACTGTTTGTACTTCCGCATAGTGACCACCTAATGGGTTACATTTTGCGCCTTGAGAATGCATTTTATGACATTGCTCAAAATTACTACCATCATGAAACGAAAAACATCAAACAGCATAGGGATCATCTCAACAAAACTACACATCAATATTTGTTTGTGCGACACCAGTTTAAGCTGGGCTATCTTAATGAACTAAAACAAGATTTGAGTACAGCCCACAAGCACTACATGCATGCCTACAACAACCTACTTGAAACCAGGATTGTAGACACCAATACTCATGAAGTTAGGACTGTAGCAGGTTATATAAATTATAAACTCTGTAAACTATTATTTGCTCTGAATTTACCCAGAGATGCAATAGCTCAACTAAAGTCTCACATCGAAAGGTATAAAAACCGAGTTGGATCTACAGAATTATTGTTTGAACACTATGCTTGGATTGCTAGACAATATAGTGCTTTTGGAGAATTGTTTGATGAAGCTATCCGGGCAGGCCTTCCAGCTATACAATCTCAGCATCCTGGCTTTTATTATCAACATGCAGCTCAGTTCACTGTGAAGAGAAGACAAGCAATGAGGTCTGTCTGCACAGAGGCCATGGCTTACCCACCACCACCTGACCCACTGGAAGGCATTGTGGAATTCTATGGCCAAAGACCATGGAGACCAGGCCGCCTTAGTGCTGATCCTCATGACCCACAAAAGGAACAAGCCGCAGTTCAAGCCTTACAATATAATGAAAGAATTTTTAACCACTCTGCTATGATCATCAGCTTTTTGGGCAGTGCCATATCACAGTTCAAGACATTCCACTCCCCTAGGATGAGGAAACAGTTAGTAGTTGAAATGGCAAATGAATACTTTTATTCAGCTGATTATGGCAAAGCTCTCACTCTGCTGACTCATATGCTGTGGGATTATCGCAGAGAGAAGTGGTGGTTTCTAGCTTCACATGTTCTAAATCGAGCATTGCAGTGTGCTTATTTGTCAGGGAAAATACAAGACTATCTACAACTGTCAGTAGAGGCATTATCTAAGCACATCCAGGTACCAAACAATGATAAGGATAGGATATACAGAAATATTATGTCTGTTCTCAATTTGAATATACCAGCTGCTGAACCAGATCTCCCAGCTGCCTCCCAGCATAAAGCACTAGAACTCTGGCAATCAGCTATTGAGAAAGATCCTCTTCTCATTCCTGTTGATATGGCTAACATATCTAGCTTTTTAGAAGTCAAGCCTAAATTTAAGCAAGCAAGATACAGAATGGATGAGATAATTGAATTAGAACTATACGTCAGGCTGTTGTACACAACAGTTCTTGAAGTTCGAAATGCTTTTATAGCTATTTCTAGTCAATCTGAAACAATTGAAATTCCAGTCATTGATGAAGGTAACACAATTATTTTATTACAAGGTGAAAAAGTTAAAAGATTTCTATGCCAATTCAAGCCAAATCCTCATGACAGTGGATCAGACATTCATATCAAAAGTGTATCTTTTGTGCTTGACAATGACAGAAAACGTAAAATAGTTTTAAATTTCAAGATAGAAGGCAGCAAAGTAACAGATTCAACTATTCATCCAGAACTATTACATTTCATAAGAAGCCCCAAAACAGATTATGAATTTGATTCCATTGTACCTTTAACAGTAGCATCTATTACTTCTCGAGACAGCAAGTTGTCATTACTGATCACCAACTCGAGTCCTGCGCTGCAAGGTGAATGGTTCCCTTCTCTATTTACTATAACAAACAATGAAGACAGTCAAGTGTATGATATTAAAATTACATTATCATTGTTGAGTTCCCCGGACAATCCTAACCCTGACTCAGTCACAGAATTGAGTTTGAAGGAAGGAGAACCACAGACACAGCCACTGTATTTACAAGTTGGTAGTTTGAGTAAGGCTGGCAGTCTTGCCAATACATTCTTTTTGAAAACAAATAGAACAGCAACTGCAACTGTGCAAATAAAAGTATCTTATTTTATTGATCTCCCTGAGATTACAAAATTGGAGTGCACTAAAGACTTCTGTACTAAAATAACAGTTATTAAACCATTTGAAGTGTCTACCAATTTTGTGGCAATGAACTTTAAACCAATTGCGAAATGTTTCGTAGATGACCCATTCATAGTGATGCCACAGATAAAAATCTTAAGCCCTTGGGATTTGCTGATAGTAGACACAGAGTTGGAAGTAATTGAGTGCTTTAAGACCAGTGATAGTATCAAGCCATTGTCTTGTATTACTAACCTTGAAGTTGCTGAAAAGAATGTAGCATCGGATGCTGTATGCATACAAGCCAAGTACAAACCTAAAGATAACCCAACTAGAGTCGGACTATATAACATAACGTGGCGTCGGAAGTCCAACGCTGGCCATTGTGTGATGAGCAGCACAGCCTTGTCAGCACTGCCCATAGATGATTGCCCGGTCGCCATTGAAGTGAAATATCCCCAGGTAGTGGAGCTATTGACTTCAGTTCCATTGAAATGCACTCTATTTGGCAAGTGCAGTACACCCATCAGACTTACTGTATCTGTAGAGGGCACTGATGCTTACATGTTCTCAGGGTACAAAAAAATATCAGTGACTATACCACCAAAGGGCAAAGTGGAACTTTGCTACAATATCCATCCTTTAGTTTCTGGCAGCACCACTCCTCCTAGGTTAAAAGCTACCATTATTGGCGATACGGCAAGTCAAGAATTAGTGAGTGAAATGTTTGATAAAATCTTTCCACAGAATATATTTGTTATGCCTAAGTACAATAAATGAAAGTATCAAATTATCTTCATTTGAATGTAAATATAATGAACAAAGTGTAAAGTTGTATTGTAGTTACCTTGTAATATCTAAATAATAAACTCAGTTACTTGTTTCTCTTTGTTTCACTGACAATAACTTACGAGTAATGTGATGATATGATTTTAATATAGTTACAACTGTTAGTTTTTTGTAATCCTTCTGGGTGGCAAGTTATTATTATTCTTTCAGCCATTAACATAAAATTGGGTTCACCATTAATAAATAACTAAGGGAATAGTATAATTTCCAATCAAAATTCAATTCGTAATAAACAAAATAATATTATAAGATCATGTGGGGTAGGCAGCAAACACAATTCTGAGAAATTACATTTATTTCAAAATTAATCTTTACGCAATTCAAACTTTTCTTCTTGGATGCCAGTGGCAGTGATAATTAAAATGTAGATGCAGTCTCCAGTATAAATATCACGCTCAGCAGCACTAATAAAAACGTCCTTCAACAAGGCCAAAGCCTTTTCTTTAGGTATAGGACTTTCTGTTACATTCTGCATGTTCTTGAGACCTATTTGGTTGTCCAGTAATGGCTGCAGTTGAGCGCCTGCAGAACCACCAGCGCGGTAGTTGGAGCGCTCACAGTGACCAATGGGATCGTAGCTGTAGACACATCCCTTGCCATCGGCGTCCAAACCAGCCAGGACATTCGATACATAATAAGGAAAGAAACGTTTGTAATACAGCATCGTGGAGAGCATTTGAGCGACGGCTGGTGTGGACATTGACTTGTTATGTTCATGCTCGTACATCTGCATCCTTGCTGAAAGCAGCCGGGTGAGGGTCAAGGTGTCGCACCAGCAGCCCGTTGCACCCAAAACAGTTTTGTCCGAAAGCTTAAATAGTTTCTTCTGTTCCCTCGTATAGATTGAGAAACCGGTACTCAAACGTGTATCAGCCCCAATAACAGCAAAGTCATCACCGGCGATGGCAACAATGCTGCCGCCATTATCAGCATACGGTTCGAAGCGGACTTGTTTAGCTCCAGGCACTGCATATTCGGGAAAATTTTCATTAACACTCAACATTTTAATTTCTAACAGTAATACTTTTAGAATATCCAACAATTTGTAACAACAGCGTACAAACGAATGACATGCATAAAATTGTGTGTCAAATATGACATTCCAATTACTTTGTTAGAGAAGTAGTGAGGTGACGAACGGAGAGCAACTAGAGATGTGCGATTTTTCGGATAAATACTCAAAATAAATACTCAGTATGAACTCGTTATTTATTAATTTTGAGTATTTCTGAAAATCACCAATTTTTTGGTGCAATTAATGCCAAAAGATAAAATTAATAAATTATAAAGCATTGTTTTCATATACCATGGAGAAAACATAAAATGTACGACAAAAATGCTTGAAGGTGGTAGATATAAATACAACCCAACGTAAACCCAACAATCGTGGTCTAAAAGTACGTACATCTTAATAATATTATATATTTTATATACCTACGTCAAGTGGGTTTGGAGAGGACAGTCAAAGCGTTGTTTCCGATATCTCTAAATGAAAATTAAACTGCTCAGGTGTACTTATTGTAAATATACACGCAGTTCGTACTTTCAAATGTTTAAATTGAAATCAATTGAAATGCATCTAAAACATTTTACATGGAGAATAGTAATGTATGTACAAATAGTTGTTCCTGTATCGCAGGCATAACATATGTTTCAGTTCAGTAAAACAAAGAGCTAAAGATTTAACATGCAAAAGAATAATTCGAAGTGGAGCTCGAATGATTGTATTTCGAGTATACATATAAAAAATAAGATTGTTTCCGCTCGAAAAGTGGCTATGATAGATAGGAATCATATAACTGATTACTATTTATATTTTATCTGCCAGAAGTGAAAAACCTACGAAATAAACGATTTTATGTCTAAAATAAGGATTTCATTAGGAGATAAGTTTTGGGCGTTTTCTGAAAGTGCCGACGAAATAAAATGGTTCCTACATATCGTTAGAACTAACTATTTTGAGCAACAGTTAATAATTATGGCGTAAAAGTTATAAGATCCAAGATGAACCAGTTTGAAGATTCATCATTTTCATACATTTTTTGCTTTCTGCTAGGCTAGGAAACGCAAAATAATGATCGAAATTGCTACAATAAAGAGTCTGATGGTACCTAATGCTAAAAGTTTTCTCAGTCATCTTTTTTTTTTGTTATAATATCTTCAACTGACTGTCCTGGAGAAGTAGGAAGGAGGGAGTGCCAACCGCCAGACTGTTACTGCCTATATAAAGCACCTCGTTCTAAACTTCTAACTCCTACTTCGTGATGACGATCTATCCCTGACCTTTGACAGTTATAGTGGTTATAGTCTTCTATTTATTATATGTTATGATTTAATCTTCTGGACCGGTAAACTTCTAATATCGTCATATCGTGCAAAAGAAAAGGCCCAAAAGTGTATGTAGCCGAAATGGTCTCTTTTATTTATAGGTTAATTTTGTATGGTATTTGGTTAGTACTTACGCTGTAGGGGTTGCTATATGCTATATGAACAATCTGTGGCGCCCTCATTGATTTTCATTATTAAATAGACAAACTGTAAAACCTAGAGGACGAAGGACGAGAGGTTCATACTGGCGACATTTGGTGAGCAAAAATACAATAGGCCCCTTTCTCTGTCTACGGTCCAATTATCCAATAGGATGAATGGACGTGTACCCCTATACTTATTATACTCTTTGGTGTACTCTAAGATTAGGTTTACGTGTCAAATCTGTCACTGTCAGAGAAGTAAAGAGCGTTAAGCGTTGCATTCTGTAATTTCCAAGTTTTCTGTAATTTTAACTTACAAAATGACATCAGTTACATCTGTAATTCCTAAGTTGTACCAAGAATATACAACCAAGACGCCTAAAAAGTTGAAAATCATTGACGCTTATTTATTATACATTTTTCTAACCGCTGTGATTCAATTCGTCTACTGCTGCCTTGTCGGCACTTTTCCATTCAATTCTTTCTTGAGCGGTTTTATTTCTACAGTCAGCTCTTTCGTCCTCGCAGGTAAATATTGTGTTATGTATTAGGTACAGCTTATAATCTACCCATTACGTTTTCATTATAACTTAACAACATCACGCCTTTTATCCTCGAAGGGGTAGACAGAGGTGCACATTATGCCGCTGTACAATGTAACACCCAGTTTTCACTATTTATGTTATGAGTCCCATGTAAATAGTGTTTACATTACATTGCGTTAATAACTCTGATAGTTCTAAAACCGATACTGAAACACCTCATTGCTCAATTATATTATTTCCAGTCTGTCTTCGTTTGCAAGTGAATCCAGAAAACAAGAATGAGTTTCAAGGACTGAGTGCAGAGCGAGGATTTGCAGACTTCATATTTGCCCATTTGGTGTTGCACATTGTTGTTATCAACTTTATAGGTTAAAATCTTTGTATAAGTAACTGAGAATGTTTATAATATAAAATAAAATTTATCTAATTTTGTCACTGTCACTAGTATTGGTTGATAGTAATGTCAAACTGAATGCATATGAATTAAATTTCATTTAAATATGTGTATGATTTATTTAAAGAAAATTGGTGGTTTTATGATGTTTAATGTGCTTCAGTAATCTTGGCACAGTTATATTTATGAGCTACCTGCAAGTCATGTCATTCCATAATTTAAATATCCATAAGTAAAAAGTTGACATTGGAGCAACAAACAATAAATACTTACTTTCACAAATAGTTGTTTTTAAGGGCAGGACTAGTTGACGTGTGTCAGTGGACTTCAATAAATAAACACTCAAACTAAGAACATAATTAAGTTAGTATGTGCAACAAGTTATAAACACAGCAGCTTTCTTGCGTACCCCAACTTTCTTCAGCCTTCCACATGGAATTTAAACTGTCAAACCCCAAGCGGTCACTGGTGACCGCGACCTATTGTTCTTTAATTGTGTCTATAAAACCGGTACTCGACGAGTTAATTGCATAAAGTTCTGATTCCACATTATATTTATGTAAGTTTAATATTGTACCCACTGCAGCTATTCAAATACTCGTCAACAACTCGATGCTCTCTGGAAAACCTCAGGATTTACTTAGAGAAGGGTGATATACTACATACTTACATGCTGTTCAAGTATATGGACAATGTACTGGAAAAGGTTACCACTCTGCACGTACATAAGAAACATATAATACTATATACATTGCTGAGGTTATCCACGAAACGGTTGCACATGATAAGGCTTTAAAAAAACACTTAGTAACTTTAAATATTTATTATTTATATTTGACTAGTCATGAATCAATTTTATATTAATTTATTTAAAATTTTATATGTATCAGCAGTCACCTAATGTTGTGGCTATAAATGTTATTATCTCATACTTGTTATCAATCACTACAAAACAGTCACCATTAAGCAATTGTCTTGTTTTACAGCTATTCTGATTGAACTCTTCATGTTAAACGTTTTCTAGAAAAAAAAAAATCTTTCAACACAAGCTTCAGCCACAGTGATTACTTCCTAGACAATTTTGTCAAGTTGCTAATATCACATTCAATGACCAAGTGAAGAGTTTCGCTAAGTATGGCGCCACTAACACATTATTATTATTTGTACACAATATAAGTACAAATGCACACATAAATTGTAGAAAAAAATTGAACTAGTGATACGAGAACAATGAGAAAGAGTCATGTACCTAGTTGTATTGTTACAGATTATCAAATGAGTGAAATGTTACATAATGCATGGGTGTGGACATTAACATTACAATACAATAATTATTACATCTACATTGTCTACATCAACATATAATATGAGTAATTACTAATCTAATGAAATAATGTGTAACTCTGTCAAAACAAGGTTTCATATTAAAAGGAGATCAAACTGGTTTCAATAATTTATAAATGAGTTTATATTTAACGGTAATCTAAGAGTACATTCTATGGACGATATTTTTTATTCAATAGAAAAATACACTCTCAAAGATAAACTAAATTGGCGCGACAAACGTCTAAATAAGGCCCTATTATTATTTGCCATATTATTTGAAATAATCATTCAGCCAGGCTCGTTGGTGTTGGAGGCTATACTAATTTATACATTAATTTATATATCACAAAGGGTGAAGTATTTACATCATATCAGTATTTTATGGCTACGTACTAAATAAAGATTCGGGTTGCAACACACCATTTGTAGCATCCGAGCATCGATCAGTAATAAGCTCCACGGCGCCAGGTACAGGCGACTTAGCTGCGCGGCGCCAGGCGCGCCAAGTACCGGCGCCGCGCCGCCTCCACTAGTTGCTGCTTGCGACGTCGCAGCTGCGCCTCGCGCTCGGCCGCGCAGCGCGAGAAGCGGGTTACGCCGTCGACCGGCTCGGCGGCCATAGTGGCGGCGTCGGAGCGCGCGGGCGCGGGGCGTGGCGGCGGCGGGGCGGGGCGCGGCGCCGGCGGCGCGGCGGGCGGGAGGCGGCCCTCGAGGATGTTGTCGAGCGTGAGGTCTGCGGAGCGCGTGCGCGCCAGGTCGGCGGCCAGCGCGGCGCGCGAGTGCTGCGGGAACATGAGCTGCAGCTGCGCGGCGGCGGCGTCCAGCTGAGCGCCCGCCAGCGCCGCCTCGGGCCGCACGCGCGTCACCTCCACCGAGAAGCTCGGCAGCCACGACACGTAGCGGGACCCTGCGCACCATATCACACCTCACTCACCGCTGTCGTATTGTATTCGATATTTTATTTCTACTTCGTAACGAGACGACGTAACGACACTCGCTAGACTAGGAGAGTACACTCCGAGCGCCGAGCGTCATTGGAGTGGTAAGGTAAAGCGGCGAGTGACCTGCACGGGCCGGGCCCAGCCGCCACAGCAGCGCGGCGAGGCAGCACAGCGCGGTCAGTGCGGCGGCGTACACTGCCAGCCGCCGCCGCATCTAACTCATGCTCGCTCCAGCACTGATTGCGCTCTAGTCTAGTCACTGCATTGCTCTCGTATCAATTTAGTTTCCACCCGATTGTTTCCGACTATTTTTCTGTCGTTGTCTGACGTCTAAATTTCGTTTGACAATGACATGTAAGTATAGTGAGGATTGCAATTTTTTTAGATTTGTGCTTTTTTACAAGGAGCTACTAACTTTTTATCATTGGTCCTTGCATTTTATTTATTGTAAAGTTTCTAATATTGAAGGTTGAATGGTTGACAGGGTGCTTTATAATAAACACGCCTTTTTAGGGTTTTTGTAGTAAAAAACACATTCTTCCGTAGATTTAAGTGTCATGTCGCTTATATTAGTAGACATGCTGGCTTTGTATGTACATGGATTTTATTAAACGGAATATGTATTAAAAACAGTTCAAACAAACAAGCTCTTCAGTTTTTTTATGGCATAAGCCGGTAAACAAGCAGACGGATCACGTGATTGTAAGCAATCGGCGTCGCTCATGGACACCTGGAACACCAGAGGCGTTACAAGTGCATTACCGGCCTTTTGGGGATTAGGAGTTTGAGGATCGTTGGGATTCAGGGATTGAAGAAATTTTGGAAGGGGGGGGGGGGTAATTGGGCCTCCGGTAATCTCAGTCACACGACGCAAGTGTTGCTTCATGTCGGTTTTCTGTTCGTTAGTAGTATCACCTTGGTCGTATAAAGGTTCGAATCGGCCCATTCGTGCCGTAGCACGAAGATCAGCTCTCCCACACTAGTGATCGTTACTTTTATATATTAGTATATATTAGATAACGTAATAAGATAGTTCTCTTACCGTCGAAGTGGAATAGATGGTTGGGGTGGCGAGCGGCGTCCTGGCGCGGCGCGGCCGGACCCGCGGCCAGAGCACGACGACATGTTGGACACGACGCGTCCTGCTGCACCCACTGGCACAGGCACGAACTGCACACACCACACCTCGCATTACTCACACTGCTGCACCCACTGGCACAGGCACGAACTGCACACACCACACCTCGCATTACTCACACTGCTGCACCCACTGGCACAGGCACGAACTGCACACACCACACCTCGCATTACTCACACTGCTGCACCCACTGGCACAGGCACGAACTGCACACACCACACCTCGCATTACTCACACTGCTGCACCCACTGACACAGGCACGAACTGCACACACCACACCTCGCATTACTCACACTGCTGCACCCACTGGCACAGGCACGAACTGCACACACCACACCTCGCATTACTCACACTGCTGCACCCACTGGCACAGGCACGAACTGCACACACCACACCTCGCATTACTCACACTGCTGCACCCACTGACACAGGCACGAACTGCACACACCACACCTCGCATTACTCACACTGCTGCACCCACTGGCACAGGCACGAACTGCACACACCACACCTCGCATTACTCACACTGCTGCACCCACTGGCACAGGCACGAACTGCACACACCACACCTCGCATTACTCACACTGCTGCACCCACTGGCACAGGCACGAACTGCACACACCACACCTCGCATTACTCACACTGCTGCACCCACTGGCACAGGCACGAACTGCACACACAACACCTCGCATTACTCACACTGCTGCACCCACTGGCACAGGCACGAACTGCACACACCACACCTCGCATTACTCACACTGCTGCACCCACTGGCACAGGCACGAACTGCACACACCACACTCGCATTATTCACACTGCTGCACCCACTGGCACAGGCACGAACTGCACACACCACACCTCGCATTACTCACACTGCTGCACCCACTGGCACAGGCACGAACTGCACACACCACACCTCGCATTACTCACACTGCTGCACCCACTGGCACAGGCACGAACTGCACACACCACACCTCGCATTACTCACACTGCTGCACCCACTGGCACAGGCACGAACTGCACACACCACACCTCGCATTATTCACACTGCTGCACCCACTGGCACAGGCACGAACTGCACACACCACACCTCGCATTACTCACACTGCTGCACCCACTGACACAGGCACGAACTGCACACACCACACCTCGCATTACTCACACTGCTGCACCCACTGGCACAGGCACGAACTGCACACACCACACCTCGCATTACTCATACTGCTGCACTTACTTGTGGAACAGGTGGGAGCAGGGTAGCTTGCGTGCCTCCTTCATTGGCTCCCAGCAGATGGCGCAGTTATCCTGATTCTTTTCCACTTCTTCTTTGCTAGCCATTGGATAACTGTTGACATTGGAATTTGAAAAGTTTCATATGTCAAATTACGAAGAGTAACAACGGTTGTAGCAGTTTCAATAATAAGTCTGTTCGACCACAAACATTTGATTGGCGTCGGGTCAATCGGGAAATATTAGACCTTCATATCGTCTGTGGGAGGCGGCACTCACTTGCGGCTCATGTGCGTGGCGAGCGCCGTGTAGAGGCGGTGGCGGCGCAGGCGCGCCTGCAGCTCGTGCAGCAGGTGGCGCAGCTGCAGCAGCAGCACCAGCGACGCCATGGACACCAGCATGCTGCACTGCGCCACCTGCGCCGCCGCCAGCGCCAGCTCGGCCAGCAGCGCCGCCGCCTCGAAGCCCAGCGCCACGTAGTAGGCCGCCGCGCCGGCCGCGTCGGCCGCGCACAGCGCCAGCGCGTAGCGCGCCGCCACGTGCAGCGCGCTCACCAGCACCAGCACGCACTGCGCCACACGATCTACTCATTACCACACATTCTCCACGAAACACGCTCTATCGAAAAATTACACTCGTTACCGATTTTCATAAATTTGAAACGAAACGCTTCGTGCGTGAATGTGGAATATTCATCGGAATCGAGCTTCTTGCCAGACCTTTCGATGAATCGGATTCGAGTGCTTCTAGCTGCTGCCTAGCTAAACCGGCTCAAAGATGGGATATCAGTGAGCAATACACGAGCGAGAGTCGTACCTCGGCCGCCATAAAGGCGAAAGTGTCGCGTCCGGCCGGCAGCCCCCAGACGGCGGCGGCGGCCAGCAGCGCGGCGGCGGCGGCCAGGATGCCGGCCAGCAGGCACGCCAGCCGCACGTGGGCCCAGCCGCCCGTGTGGGGCGACGACGACAGCTGGAACAGCAACTCTTATTGTGCATGCGATATACTTTGACAAACAAAAATTGTGTTTCAAGGCTTGGAGGCGTAGGACATAGAGTGCCGCCTTTTAGACACGTGATGCATAATTCTGCATTCACATTATTCTATTGACAAAAGTTATTAACACATTCCCTGCACTCCTTTCCGACTTTAGACTTTTACTTTAACCTTTTCGCCGCCCAGCTATACTAAACACGATGTGTCGCCGTACGCCAACGTATAAATGTATAATAAATGTATAGTACGAAAGTAGGGATGGCGGTAACATCATGTCGATAATGAAAAAAAATATGTGTAAATTTAAATTGGTACTCAAATTTACAATTAAAAATACAAACTGTTAAGTTATAATGGTAATTTGTTTTATTTTATGAACATTTATACTAAGAAAAATGGGTATCCGTTATCAGAGATGAAGATACATGCATAGAGTTGCTAGAGATAATAATAATAATTCGTAACATTAGCCACTTCACTATTCATTTCATAACGTAGTCTGTTTACTTCATATCAAGTCATTGGCGTTCAAAGCACGATACATTTCGTAAGGAATAGTTGTCTATGCTTTTCTTTCTTTCTATCGAGTTTGGTTTGCTTTTGGTTTTAGTTTACATTTAAAATCTAACGTCAGGTCACGATCAGGAACATTGTTTGTAGTGATTAAAAGTGGCAACATATGTGTAGTTTTGGAAATGGATGGTAAGTAACTATTTTAATACAGATGTACTAAACTTTAATAGCTTATTTTTCATTTAATGCAAATGAAAAACTGGCACGTTTGATGGATATTAGGTAGTCATAAAATACCTATTCGTTGCGGCTCTCGGTTTCGCAAACTTTTAGCTGTGTCGGCGAACAAATATAGACCTGAGTCGATCACAAATTTTTCGCGACCCAAACAGTTTGTAATCGAATCAAAATGACTCAATCATTTGGATATTTCATAATCATGAAAATAATTATAGGTATAGGCCGTGCGATTAATCGATTAAGTGCGATTGCGTGCGTGCACGCGTCGCCCGGAACTATGACACAATGACCTTGACGCCTAAGCGCTTACGACGTCACAGGTTTACTTCTATTGAAGTTGACGGCGCTAGTGTCACTCGACATCTTGCCATTACGTAGAGATGGGTCTAGCAATATCGAAAACCCTCAGTACATAATAATTAATTTTAATGAAATGATTTGATAGGTAGATGTACATTAATTTTGAAACGCATTGTAATACGTTATTTACTGACCGGAATTTCTTTTTATTCATAGAATTCAAAAAACTATTGGATGGAAAAGAAAACAAATATTATAGTAAATAAAGATTCTAATGAATGCTCCTTACGCGTCACATCACTGGCCTACTTGATATGAAGTCGTTGGCGTGCGGGATATAAAATTATTTGAAACCTTTTATGTTTTACCTTTTTAAAACAGAAAATAGTCTGTTTTGCATGAGAAAAAATAGTTCGTCGTGTCCATATTACAAAATTACAAAGAAACAAATGTTTTATGTATCGTAAATGTATTTTTTATAGTAGGTAGATACAATGAACTTCTATAGAAGTAGTGGCGTGGACGGCACGAAAATCCTGAACTTCTATAGAAGTTGTTGGCGGCGAAAAGGTTAAATCCCATAATAAGCCTAATTAAACAAAAGTTCAATACCAATCTACACTAATAATATAAAGACGAACATTTTGGTTTTCTGTTTGTTTGAATTGAATAGGCTCCGAAACTACCGGGCCGAATTGAAAAATACTTTTACCGTTGGAGTGCTACATCATAGATGATAAACATAGGCTATATTTAATACTTCGGCACGTGGCACGTACCACTGGTTGATTAAATCTAGAAAAGCATGATTTTATCGGCCGAATCACAATCACTGTCTCTTATAATACAGGTTCCCCTAGTGTAAGAGACAGGGTTTTACAGTGTCTGCGCATAGATTTACCTATGTCTTTTAGATTTAAGATTTGCAATCATGTATTTATATCTATGTATGTTTGGTGGTAAATAAACTATTATTATTATGTATGTCTTTACCATTCACGGGACCACAGCAGGGTCCCGGTCATTTGGGAGGCGTACGAGGGGCCGAAGCCAACTGCGCAGAGGCCATTTAGACAACTTTAATATAAATGTAATGGACACACAAAATATTATTAATAAGAGAGAAAAAAAATCATAATGAAATCCGATGTGTGATAAACTACCAAAAAGCTCCTTATATTGTTGACGCATTTGACTGCCAATAGAAAACTGTTTTTAAGGTCTAATACTAGTATTTAGCTCCATCAGAATCAGGGATTTTAAAGAAAAAATACGAATTCAATTAATTAACTAAAAACATTTTATTCATGGATTAGCTTCTGCCCACGGTTTCGCTTGCGCTCTTTTAAAGTATTGAGGGCAGGAAAGTATAAAAAAGAATTGGTGCCCGAAGTTTTGCTGGTCACAAATAGGATACCCAGTTTAGGCTTCTAGAAAATTACGAAATTCTCCGTACAAACTTCCGTCGTCTGTTTTTGGAAAGTGGTGCGTTAGATAGAAACAAAATGTAGCCTATGCTACTTTCAATTATTTCAACTAACTCCACTCAATAAAAAAAACTAATAAATTTCTAACAAAACAAACAGACACACAAATTATAATAAACTTTAACCCTTTGAGTACCGTCATTTCATTATGGACATAATTAAAGAACAATAGGTTGCGGTCACCGGTGTCCTCGCGGTGTTTGACAGTTAGGGTTAGGTATTTTTTTTTCCTCTTCTTTGGCAAACGAGTCTCCAAAACAGGTAAGTAAGTATCATAATATGTTATCTGACATTTAAGTGGAATTCGGTACGATGATAGTTTGAGACTAGAAAACAGACGCCTTAGTGTTTTAAACCGCTATTTGATTGGAATTCAAATGGCGTTTTAATTACTGAAACCTCACGGGAAAGGATACTATACGGGTAAAATCCGAAATACAGGTGAAATCACGAAAGTGAACAATATTTCACAATAAATATAACGGAATCGATTCTGATGACATTTTTTTACACAGCATTGGAATTATCCTTGGGAAAGACTAATTAAAAAATCCATAACTTGCCAGAAGTCATATTATACGCACACGCGGACGAAGTCGCGGGGAACAGCTAGTACCTCCTAAAACGGTGACCTCACTCAAACAAAACAACGCAAGCGTTGTTTCACGCCGGTGTTCTGTGAGGCCGGTCGAGCTCACGCCCCACCCATTCGTGACAGAGCACGGTTCTCCCACGTGATTTGACATTTTTGGTTGTCATAGTCATAAGTAATGACTGATGAAAAAGAAAAGTAATTTCTTCCTACTTACTACTACACGATATGTAATAGGTAATTATACCATTTATATCAGCCGCAGTGTAGAGCTAGAGGGTCGCGCCGTCGTCGTCGGCGTATCGTGGTAAGAGATTTGCTTTGGTACCTTAGGGACATATTGGAAACCAAATGCTGGGGAAAGTTTTCACTTGTACCCAGCTTTTTGTTGAAAACATCGTGTTCAGTGTTGTTCTCTAGGTCTGGTGCGAGACGTGTTTACGTGTGACCGACGCACACGCATGCGCGCGATATTATAAGGACACAAACAATTATTTTCGTCATTAATGTATTTATACATAAACTTGTTGTTTAGCGGCTGTGACCGCGCCCGCGCCGTGTTAATTCGCAAACAACTTGGTCACATTTACTTCGATTCGACGGCAACTGCTTGTGATGAATGTTCTAAAAACTTCGGTTCTCCACAAGACACCGTTACAACGCTCGAGCTGCGCGGTTTTAACGTAAAATTTAATGTAAGAGGCAGATATAGAAATGCGTATGGACATAGTCGTGAAGCAGTACCTCCATAGGCATTGCATTTATGCGACTTGTTAGTTTTAAATAGTAACAGATAGCAATATTGTACTCACATATTCGTACCTATCCTTGCACAACTGGCCGAGCAGGTGCAAGAAGCCGACGAGCGTGAACCAGGAGCACCAGAGCAGCACCTCATCCATATACTGCACGTTGATGACGCCGAACACGAAGATGAACTTGTAGAACACGTAATTCCAGAACTTGTCTTTGACGCGCTGTGCCTCGGCCACGCGAAGCGGCCCGAACACTAGCCGCTGCACCGCGAACCCGAACACCGCCAGTGAGCAGTACGCTATGTTGATCAGGGTCTGCAATCACAAGCATGTTGTATTTGTCACTTATATTGAGTGTCTATGCCGTAAACAGGTGTGTCCTCGATTGAGATTCTAATAATGCGAGTGTACTACATAATATTTCCCGAAAGGACACGAACTCATAACAATACATAATTGGGTAGTTTGCTGGGTCAAAAATAAATTATTTTGATTTTTCAGTCCAATTAAATATTGAAAAATATTTACACTTTCATTCATTGATTGAACGATACCTATACTTAATTTTCGATTTACTCTAGCATTTTTTTTTAGATATAAGTGTGCTATTTCACGCGAAAATATGATGACGTCATAAGATGGTTTTTCGTACAAAATTCATAGAACAGTATCGTTTTTGACGTTTCGATAAAAGTATTGAAGTCGTGGTGGCTCGGAGGTTTAAGATGCCTGCTTCTCATGCATGAGGGTGCGGGTTCGAAACCTATCAACGGCAAGTACCAATGTGACTTTTTCCGAGTTATATGTGCTTTCTTAGAGTATTTAGACACCACTGACAAACGGTGAAGGAAAAACATCGTGAGGAAACCTGGACTTATAATTTCTAATTATAAGTTTGAAATCGCCAACCCGCATTGAGCAAGCGTGGTGATTAATGCTCTAACCTTCTCCGTGTGAGAAGAGGCTTTGCTCAGCAGTGGGCATTTATAAGCTGTTGATGATGATGCGTACTTCCAATTCCTTTTATATAGTCAATAAGTTTGTTACACTTTTTCAAAATAAAAAATAGCGCCGAGGAGATGTGGAGTCGAGACCGGCGTACCTTGGTTGAAGTACGCCTTAGGAAGAATATCTCTTGGAAGTCTTGGAAGCATCCTACACATAATTTAAGGGGGACTATCCTCTCATAAAATGCGGGGTCCTAGCTCATGGTGTCATGCACCCGTCCATCTTGAACCTGCCTACGCTAGGGCGCTAGGCGGCCTGAGCTGTCACCAGAAGACCTGCACTTAAGGAGCGCAGACATCAGCTCCTTATGTAACTACCGCGCTAACACAGACTTCACCTCTCCCGCTACCGACCACGGCCCCCTCGAGGCAGGCTTCCAATTTTACAAAATTAACGAGTACAACAGGTGGTAACAGTGACAGTGCTAGTAGTCCGTGTGGTAAAGCCATTAACCATATTAGTGATGTGTGCTCTTTGATACTAAAATACCTATAACCTTCATTATTTATGAATGACTTGTTAATTAACTATTTCATTTCTGTAAGTTGCCGAGGCTCCGGCTCGAAGCAGGAGTAGGAACGGAATGGTTTTTAATCAGTAAGAGTCTGACACTCTCTTGCCTCACCTAAGACAGGATAAGTAATTAAATAATTTTTCAACTTTCAAATAATGGTTTAGGTACCAGAAGTTACGTTATAACTTATAACGGCAAAGTCTATTTATTTATTTATTTATTTATATATGCTTTATTGTACACATTTATGTAGTTTAAAACAAACAATTTAAGTAAATATGCGTACAATGGGCGGTCTTATCACACAATGGTGATTTCTTCCAGACAACCTTTGGATGGAAATATTTGTAAGAAACCAGATAAGGGGTAGTTACGTGTACAATAAAATATAAAAATGCCTACAATACAACCTACAATAGATATAATATACTAGCAACATATAAAAAGAAATACATAAATAATATACAAAAATACAATAAGCTATGTGTGTGTGTGTGTGTTTGTGTATGTAAAGTAAATGTAAAGTCATAACAGTCATCAGAAAAAAATAAAAAATCTAAGTTATGTACTTTTTAAACCATACTCATTTTTAAGTATGTACGTAGGTAGTTATAGATATTATAATTATGACTACTGTGCTAATTGTAACATTCCAGTTCCATTTATAGTATTTTTTATCTAATTTGCATTTAACAGTAATGTGGATATGTGTTAGTTAAGCGCGGATTGTTAATGAGCACGGTCATCGACACCTGGACTGTGTACTCACTACGTAGAACGTCTAGCCGCGCACGCGCACCGCCGTCGGTCGACAACATGGTACATGAGTCAACCAACAGCCCTCTTGTATACTTAATGTTAGTTATACAGATCTGGTGAATGGTGGCATCGTGAATATTAGTCTATATAGCTTGTGACATACAATTTCTATACTTCAATGATGTTAAGTATAATGGCAGCTATCACATTTACAGTGGCGTAACTACAGGATGGCAAGTCGGCGAAATGCCACGGGCCCCCGAGGTTTTCATCTGAACTTCTCTGTTTTTTATTGACAACGGGAGCCCATCCAATGAATTTGCCACGGGCCCCGAATTTTATAGTTACGCTTACGCATTTAACTAATTCTATGTTTAGACGAGTTACAAACTGATACTGAGCTTACAAAACTTGTACAAAGTTACCGTTTTGTTGATACGGGCGCTCAGCATAGGTACGTATTCCTTATCGTTAAGATACTAACTGCTCCCAGGCGTTTTCACGCTACTCGGCTCTTAGTCATCGTAGCGTGATGTTTTACCTACAAGGCCAGCCATACACGGACCGCTAGAGTAGTTACCCAGTGATAAACACACACGGAGCGCTCTAGCAGTCAGAGTCCATAGCTTGAAGCTGCCATTGATAACTGATCAAGCACTTAGCTTAATTGCTCGAGAAATTAGTATATTCAATAAGCAAACGAAGCACGGTACGTCCAAGAAGGGTGTACGAAGTCAGACGACCGGCGCCGAGCTTTTTAGAGACAAAGACGAGGGAGTGTGGGATTTGTACCCACCTATTTTACCTACCTACCTACCTATTTTTTTATTCTATTTTGATGTTACAACCTTTTATTAACAGATACACATCGTCCTCTTTATACTATGGTCCTATTCATCATCAATTAATACAAACAAACGCATAGCGGAGTCTTAAGGTACGAAAATAGACCACGACTATACATTATGCTCTCACTCACTCAGTTTATAATCGAATGTCTGTATCAACACGTAATTAGGAAAACATATTGTGACACGATAATTAGTGTCGCATCAGCTGCGATATGATCCGTATACTTAAGTGTGGACAGTACAGTACAGATATCAATGTCAGAAGTGTCGTAGTCTATTCGTACTTTTAATTGGGTTGGGTTTTATCCTTTGGGTATGGAAATCTAAAAACGCCAAAAATCACATTGTTAGGCACTACACAATAAAATCCAAGAACGGAACCCGGACCGTGCAAGTGAGGTTACCGGAGGCCCAAGGACCCAAATCCCTAAATCTCCGATAACCCTCAAATACCTAATCGCCAAAAGGCCGGTAACGCACTTGTAACGCCTCTGGTGTTGCGGGTGTCTATGAATGGCGCCGATTGCTTACTATCAGTTACCTTACCCAAAGCTAGTTAGGAAAAAGGTCGGAAGTAGGTAGTAGGCCAGACTGAGAATATTTTTATGGAATCTTTAGAAGACATGAATATAAGTGTTAATATGAGTTTGCATCATTATATCTCAGGGACTGAAAGCGGTTAAGGTAAAAGCTTATGTTTTAAATCATCCAATGACTCATCTCGCCTTGGACGTCAGACTGACTGACGCCCGAATACTGAAAGGCTGAGTAGCCTTTGTTCTTAAATATCGTGCCATCTCTGTCATTTTACAATGAATTTGTAGAGACAGAACTATACTTAAACGCGACTTAAAATTGAGTGGCGTTTGAGTATTTGAGCATTAAACCTCTAGTTATTATCTATGGTCATCATCTTTCTTTTATAAACAATACCCATTGCATAGCATAGTACAGTAACCACATAATTATTATCAACATCAATTGTCCGACAACTGCCGGAGTCAACAATGACCAACTAACTGCAATAATAGGATGCAACCCCGGCAGCTAGGTCGCCGGACTTGTCGGCAAGGTAAATCTGAAGCCCGCAAGGTGGACTAGTAGCGTAGAAGACCCTATCGAACACGTACCGTCAATAGTTTACTACTTGCTGGGAGTTGCGACGTGCGCAACCACCTACCTACACGGCTACACCACACTATATTCAGTTTTTTTTATTTTATTTTTCGAGTTATTTGGGTCAACATGATAATTATTTTAAAACACAATTTTATTTGTTGTTGCTTGAAACTCGAGACCAGCCTACTATAATTATTTTTAGTATGTATTTAATTCTATAATCAGTACCAACTAAATATATCTCTGAAAGATAAGATTATCGTTATATCCGCAGTCAGTCGCCGTAAATAATAACAATGTATGTTTAGTAATGAAATGTAAGTAAATACGTTACGTACGTATGTTATGTGCAGAAAATACAGCAGTTCTGGACTATGATAAAAATGGCTCAGTACGATACCGACCTAAAGGTCATCAATTAGTCTCTACGGGTTCATTGTTGGACACGAAGTATTAAACACTCAACCAACGGCTAAATTACAATATCGATTAAGTAAATAATTATGACGCCATAAATTAAACAAATCTTTTATTTATCTGCTAACAACTACACATTTATCATGAATGAAGTAGACGGGTAGATATAGCCTATACCGTACAGGCTATTAAGCCTTATGACAGTGCTAAGCCATTTTTAAGGGCCTAATCTATTATACCTTACATTTGCAACTTCTACAACCACTTTCAAGTCACATAGGTCACAAACAGAAACAGACACAGGCCACAGGATTGGAACACTACATGATGGGAATAGAAGAATCACGAGCTATTTTATTCGTGAAAGAGAAACCATTTTGCAGAAATTTCAGAAACAGATACCACTGTTTCTGAAGTATTGATATTTAAAGCGTAGGTCGCGATCGCCTGGGGCCTGGAGGATTTCTATTTCAATTTGGACGTAGAAAGAATTCAGAAAAGAAAGCAATGAAGTTGTAAACAGTAAAGTTCGGGTGCATGGTTGGCGCGGTGGCTGGGCAGCCGCGCAACGTGTAGCGGGTTCGATTCCCACACGGGGCAACTCTTTGTGTAATCGACTTATAATAATTGCTGTGCTTAACCATGTGCGGGAAAAAACCATGGTGCAGTCGTGGCCTCAGTAATTTCTTTGCTATTTTTTATTCAAGCCACTCAACAAGTCGAGGGAGAGAGCCTGGAGATCCTTTCAACAGGTCTCCAACCTAGTTTGGAACCATAGCGCCGATTAATAACCATACCATTAGGTAATACTGATGCACATGGTCACAAGCATGCCAATTCCATAAAAGAATTACTCATTTTACTTTTTTTAAGTGAATGCAAATAGTGTAACTTAGAATTATGTTTTATATATCATAACACTAGAAAATCACTTGAAAAATGTCAACTGTCTAGCTATCATAAACTAAGTTGCTGACAAACAGATGGACAGATGGCAACTAGAAGGGGGCCAGGTATTGAGTTTGGGGGCTCAACCGATGAATTTGATACGGGCCCCTAATTTTATAGTTAATGCCACTGGTGATAACAAAGTGTTGTAAGAAGTCATTTCACTACTGATGCCAAATAATCTCTATTAGCAGTGAGACAGTTTAACAGTACACATAATAGCGTTATAAAAGAAAATCCTAAATTATTGTGTAGGCGTGACAACTGTCTACCAATTTCAATAATAATTAACATGGATGATAAGCTCAAAAACGATAAACTTCGACGTAATTTGCCCGATACCAATAGATTCGATTTGGAAATTGTAAGGGTTATATTTCCCAGGTGGTACTCACCCACATGCATAGTGGTTCCTGCATCATAAATGTTATGACATCCACAAACTGCTCTGATACATTTCTGGTACCATTGGACTGTAACTGGGCCGGTATTGGTCGCTGCTCACCTTGCCCAGACTCCATTGAGTCCTGTCGGGCTAGCGTGGAGTTTGCACGCCAGTTTGGATCACTAGTTACACTTAAAGCGTAATAAACAGCTATTGAAAGCAGTGAAACACTTCCCGCTGTATAAACCTTGAGATTTGGCAAGGGCAACCTGTCTACTAATGTAACGGGCATGGTGGATGCCCAAACGTACTCTATCGTGGCAAATAAACACTTATACTACACCACAATTTAGAACATAATGACATTGGATTGTTTTAAAACGCAGTTTTTATCAAAATAGTACACACAACTCATCGAACGTTTACTACGGATGATTAACTGGGTTACCAGTTTACTACTTTTTAAAACACAGACAGCACTGTTGACAACCCATTGTCGATGATCTCATATTTGGCGTAAATCAAAATATTCATTTGCTTTATCTTTTTCACCTTAATACTTGTTACGACAGTGATGCCGAATATATATTTTTTTTTATAATAATATACATTACTTTGGATTGTAATGTAATTTTTGTAAGTGATTAGATAATTTATTTCTGTACGGTTTTGTAGACGTCAAAACTGACTGACATTTTCATAATTCGTATCAGCTGTCGAATGTCGGTCTAGAAAAGGAAATATCAGAAACTTTTCTTTATTTACTGTAAGACTTATTCTGATCAAAAATTAGAATATTTAGCACCTTCGAAACAGTTTATCTTGCTTATTTCTTTAGAATTTGTCAAGATATTATACAAGGTCCAACTAAACGATAAAAGACCTTAAATGGCTTGTTAAATTCGGCTTTTCTTCATTAGTTTTTCATAATACCTGGTAAATAAATCAGAAATGTCCGAGAGAGACTATGCACCACTGAGCATTGCCTGCGTTCGCGGGCTTTGCGATAAAATATATGACAAAAGAAAGTTTGCTGGCGTCGAAATTGAAAAGTGAGTAAAGTTTCCCCCTCGGAAACCACCCCTTTATGACAGACTCAAAAGAGGAAGTGTTTCCAGTGTTCTTATATTTATCATTAGCTTTGCGCTCACGGCTTCATTGATTATGCCTGTATATATTAAAGTTCTTCTTGAATCCTCTATAATTATAAAAAAAATCGTATCATTATTATTATAAAGATCTAAGATAGATCATAGAGACAGACAGCGGTAAGTGACTTTGTATTATACTGTGTACTGATAAAAAAGTAAGAAAAAGTGTTTATTAAACTGTCAAACACCAAGCGGTCACCGGTGACCGTGACCTGTTGTTCTTTAATTGTGTCTATAAAACCGGTACTCGACGAGTTAATTACTATTAACTGACAGATGCAATAGTTTTACTGTTATTATATATATTAGTTGTTGTTGATTTAAGTATTGTAGACCACATCAACATCTAAAATTAACACCAGGTAAGATAGTGACCAAACACTGACCCATTTCATATAAAAAAGTACTATGACTATATTTATATTCAAAGTACTTTTATTACTATTTCAGTATTTACTGAATAAAATAAATTTGGTCAAAGTCAATGTCAAAGTCATTTATTTCAATTAGACCAGAAATGCATTTTTGAACATCAAAACAAAATATTGAATTTTAAAGATGCCAGTCCTAGTGAAGCTGTCTGCTCATTCCAAGGTGTAGATTCTTATGGAGGAGAACAAGCAAGGAACTCCATAGGTTACTCTTTTTCAATCAGGTTCACAATACAATCCTTGATTACTTGACGGTTCACCAATAACTTTCTCTATAACAGCAATATTCAGACAAATGTACACATTTTAACAATACCAAATGTACAACATCTGGTATATCTCTTCCTCCTCCTACCTCTTCCTATAAATAAAATAAAAATGTTGTGTAATGTACTAAAATATAATTTTGATAAGCCACATTTAAATAAGTAATGACATATGCTTACAGGATGGTAAAAGACTTCAGTGATGCAAAGAACACAAGCCAGATAAAGAGGCTGATACGAGTGCTCGGACAAGATTTGATGTCCTCCACTAACCCTAATGTGAAGAATGGAGCACTCATGGGACTCTCTTCTGTGGCAGTGGGCTTAGGAAAGGTCAGTTATAACATTACTATTCCTGGTTTTAAAACTAGGGACCGAAACAGATGCAGCTTAGAGTCTAAATCAGTTAACAATGACATGATCCTTACAACACTAGTGTTGTGTGTAAATATAGTTATTTTATTTAGTGTTGTAAGTGTGTGCACTTACAACACTAATTAAAATAATTTCATTTTCTTATCTATTACATCAATAGATTATTGAAAGTTGATAATGTAAACATATATTTCGTGTGTTATCTGTTACCACACTATTTTTTATTACAAATTGTTCCAAACCATAATATTATGTAATACGTGGTGTAGTAACAGCACTAAAATTTTTAAACGAGTAAGGTCAGAAGTTTTGAAATTAAACTATTTTTACGATTTGGGAATTTCCCATTTCCCTAACTTTAGCCTATTTGGCTTGATAAATGTGAATATTCAGATCATAATGTTGACATGAATAGAAAGGATTTAGAAACATCATCAGTCTGTTGTAAGTTGAAGTTTCAGTAGTTAGGTATGTACCTAGGTTCCACCCGATGCATGAGTCGCTCTATGTGACGGGACAATATACGAGTAGATTACGGACTAGATTTACACATAGAGTGGGGCTGCGTTAAAATAGCTTCCACATCTCGTGCTCGCACCAGGTTTTTAAGGAATGAGCGGCTCAACGAAATCGACTAGAATGTATGTTAAAAATGTTCGTACCAATGTTTGGCTCAAGTCGTTGTTCAGTTCGACAAGAAAACGGCCTGATGGTCTGTTACATTACAAGTGAATGCTCAGATCTATCAGCACCTTTTTAGGCAAAGAGACTGTATGTCCTATTAAATTAACGCTTGCACTTAGGTAATAGTCTATTAGCATACCGCAGTTTAGTGCAATACAGCCCAGTAATGGGTTTTAAACAGAACGCGTTTGCACCAGGGTTGCATCGACTATTTGCCGGAGTTGGTGCATCCGATCGTGGCGTGCTTCAGTGAGAGCGAGTCGCGCGTTCGGTACCAGGCCGCAGAAGCGCTGTTCAATGTGTTGAAGATCGCGCGCGGCGAGGCGCTCGCACACTTCCCGCTCGTGTTCGACGCACTCGCCCGACTGGCCGCCGACCCCGAGCCGCAGGTCAAGCAGGGCGCCGAGCTACTCGACAGGCTAGTCAAGGTAATTTATTTATTTAAAAACAGTAGGTACCACTTTCACCGATGCGGCGACGGTTGTGTCGAGTCCCAAGTTCCTAACTCGAGATCCCACTCGACTCGAGTCACTCGACTAACGGGGCAAGGCAGGCAGTCGACACCGTAAAGAAATAATACAAGTTATAACTAGGGTTGCCACCCGTACTTTATAATAAAGTATTGTTCGTTATTTAAGGTAATTGTACTCTATACTTTATACACTTCCGGACACCTAAATCGAGCCACCTTGATTTTTTTGGTTTGGAGTACTGTAACTTGTAAAAAATCTATGTAGAAGGAAAATGTTTTGATGCAGTTTTGGAGCTGGTTTAATCAAAATTCATTTAGAGTGCCACTGTTCTAAATATGAACTACAGTTCATTAAAAAAGTCGAGTTACGTTGACACAAGTCCATATTTGTTTTTTTCAAAGAAAAAAATCTAATCGATTTTTAAATAAAAAAATGTTTTAAATGAAAAGAAATGTTTATTTAGTAACTTGTATTGCCTCCCCGTGCATTTATGACAGCTCTCATACGGTTATATAATTAATATAATTAATCAATGTCGTTATGACATGTTGAGGAATGTCCTCCCATTCTTCCAAAATTACATTTTTGAGCTCCTCCGTGGTTTGCGGGGCAGGATGATGAGCTCGAACACACCTCTTCAGCTCATCCCATAGATGCTCTATAGGATTCATATCAGGACTTCGCGCTGGCCATCTCATAACAGTGATACCAATGTTATTTAAGTACTGCCTGACGATTCCCGCATTATGGGCCCTTGCATTATCATGCATTAAAACGAAATCTTGGCCAATAAATCCAGCATATGGCATCACGTGGTTCTCTAAACATTGGCGAATGTATCTATTGCTATCTAGGGGCGGCAGTCGTGGTCCCGTTACTACCTCTAGCTCAGTTTTGCCTTCCATAGAGATTCCTCCCCAGACAGTCCATGATCCTCCACCATAACTCACTCTTTCGTCAATACAACATTGCGCGAAACGCTCGTTCTCTCTTCGGTACACCTTACTCCTTCCGTCGTTACCGTATAGCATTATCTTGGACTCATCTGTGAAGAGAACCTGGCTCCATTGATGTCGAGTCCAATTTAGATGTTCGCGCGCAAACTCTAAACGGGCTATTCGGTGTGCTCGTGTCAATTTGGGTCCATTGGCTGGCTTTAAACCACGTTCATTGAGTCGCCTTCTAACGGTCCGAGCACTTACAGCCACTCCGTGAAAGTCCCTGAGCTGTTCTTGTATTTGAACAGAGGTAAGGCGTCGATTGCGTAAGCTGGTAGTGACAATGTATTGATCTTGTCTCGCCGTTGTCACCCGGTAACGAGGTCCTCCTGTTCGCCGAACGAAGCCGCCAGTCTCCAGGTATCGATGGTACACTCTTTGGACAGCGGAACGACTTATGAGAAGTTGTGAACTCACATCTCGCTGACTTAGCCCAGATTGAAGAAGTGCTACAGCTTGCGCGGCTATTTCAGGTGAAGTATCCATAATTTTATAGCCAAAAGCGATTCAAATTAAAGAAAAAAAACTAAACTAAACTTTGGTTAGCGAAAATTCAAACAAAATCGAAATTAAATAGCTTCAAAAGTAACTTCCTACAGCCATTATTTTTTTCAAATCAATGACCAAGCTCGGCTTTTATTCTTTATTTTAAAATATTAAAAATTCAAATTTGGAAGAATACATACGGGAAAGACGATGAAATATGCCAGCATTAAAAATGCATAAAAACTTTTTTGTTATATTGCATATATTTTGTATAATGAGCTTTTAGGCCCGGGAATGTAATGTGGCTCGATTCAAGTGTCCGGAAGTGTACTTTACTCTATAAGAATAATGAAGTACACGAAAATACTTTATTTTTGCAAACTTCTATTAAAGTCGTAAGTATTTTTAGGTAAACTTATCGATTCGATTTTTATCGATTTATGTTGAATCGATTTCGCCACTCGCCAGCGCCACTTAGACAATTTCTAGTAAAGATGCAATTGTTTAGTAAAGATACTAATTTAATACAAACTGCAAAAAGCAATAAAAAATATATTTTTAAATAAAATACTATAAGAATAAATAAGAATAAATTGTACTTTATTTTTATACTATGTACTTTTTTTTCTTACCTATAATCGTCAATGTAATTTAAATA